GCCTCACCCAACACCAAAGCTGCTTTGCAGCCTCCTTGCGTTCTTGATGCTGGATGTGAATAGTTATTGCCAGGCGTGGAGAGTCCTCTCCCCCTCTGGTAGCATCAAAGGCAAGAATAACAAACAGTTCGTAATTTATAGTCCTTTTTATTCAGTCATCTGGTTGCAAGACAAGAATCCATGGCTCCACACAAAGAGAGAGGTTGGCTACTCTGAACTCTGCCTGTTCCATCCCCAACAACACCCTGAGTGCCAACGGGAAGTCTCAGGATCCCACCCCTCTGCCTTCTTTGTTCTAGGGTGCTGTTATGTACTAAGCTTGGATCCTAGAACAATAGGCAAGTAGGATCGTAGAATGCAACAACTGATTGGCCTGCAGGAAAAGACCAATCAGGCTCCAGGAGGGAAGCAGAATCAGCCAATCAGATGGGACTCATTGTGTAAATAATGTATATAAAAGCCTGAGGTTTGGAGGGCAATTGTATTACTGTTTTACAAGCTGCAATAAAGAGCATGAAATCACTACAGGACTTCAAGTATATTTCAGGTGTGGAGGGACCGACATGCCTGTGGAGATGGAGGATGCCCCATACTCTCCAGGGAGGTCCCTGCCAGCTGCTCTCTCACCTCACCTTCACTATCTCGTAGCTTGGTAATTCTTCCTTGAAAGGAATAGCATCTCTCTCTCTCTCCTCCTGAAACTGCTGTAGATGAAGGTGGCGAAGCTCCCCCCCGCCCCTTTGGAGAGAAGCTGATCAGACTGAGTGCATACTTCCCAGTCTTCCTGTTCAGACCATTCCCTGACAGTGCTAAGGCTTCTTGCTTTCCTGGATGGAAGACAGAACAGGAGGTGTGAGTGTGTTGAACCTGACCTACTGTGTGAAAAGGACCAATCTCTGCCACTTTTGCCTCTTGCCCTGCCCACCACTTTGCATGTGGCCCCCAGAAGGTTGCCCAGAAGGGCATGTGGACCTCAGGCCATTTAATATGACAGTGATGCCCCACATTACTGCCCCAGCCTTGCAGTAGGAGCTCAGGATGGTCTAAGCTGCTACTTCTTGTACTGCAAAGTTGTAAGGACCCAGAGATGGAGCACTACTTCAGAACACAGGGTGCAATTGTTTACTAAGAGAAAGATGTAGTTGGGAAGAGGTGAAGTTGTCATCCTTCTCTTACAAAACCCCAAGAACCAGGAGAACATGGGCATAGCCAGGATTTTTGTTGGGGGAGGGCTTTATATAAGGGGGGGGCAGAACCTCAGTTAGTTACGTATTTTTGATTGATTTACTACTTGAGATGGGGAGCTACACCCATGCAAGAGAAGTGGAAATGCAGAAGCTTGCAGGAAATACTAGAAAGCAAACAGGGTTTTGTTCCATACGGACTTCCTAAATGGTGCTCTGGAGATTTCCATCCCAGCTGATGCTTGAGAATTACATATGGTCCTGTTAGTGAAGAGCTGTGGTTCTTGAAGAGCAGAGGCGGTGCAAACTCTGTTTAGTCAGAGTCTTCAGGTAACTGATAGGACTTTTTGAATGCTTATTGTCTTCACCAAACTGTCTGGGCAACAGAGGTTCCTTTATAAACAGTCTGCTTCTCTATCTAAACACACCATTAAGAGACTGGTGGCTAGCACACAAGGAAACATCCAATTATTATTACCTTAGGTCTAAATATTTGCCTTGCAAGTGAACAAACAGAAATAGAACCTCAATAAATACTTAAACTGTCACTTAATAGGGAATTTAGAAGGTCATGTATTGCCTTAAGGCTGATGCACACACACACTTGTATAATGTGTGTGAGCAGTGTAAGTTGGACATTGTTTTTAATTCTGAAGCTCACAGAAACCCTTTTGTATTGTCATTGCCTCATCATATATATTTTTTGCAGGTGGAGTTGGTGTCTGCATAATGAAAAGTTGAAAATAAATTGGGAGAAATATGAGACATTTCATTAGATGTGATTATACTCATAATTACCTTACCTGATTCATTAGAAACTATGTTAATATCAGCAAATAACAAGCATGGAAAATTATTAGAAAGAACTGCATATAAATAAAACTAATAATAATAATAGTAGTAGTAGTAGTAGCAGAGATGGAGTTTATAAGATAGAGGATGCCTTTGCAATATGATAAATGATTTCCAGATCAAACAATGTGCTGCATAAGTTTGAATACATTTTTGTTGTTGCTTGTAAGTTCGTTTCAAGTCCTTTCTTGGTGATACCGCCAATGTTCTTCTGAGTCAGGTTCAGAAAGAAATTTTCAGGGGTCATAAAATATATGAATTTTATAAACCCTGAATTTCCTCTTTAGCTCATATCAAAATCTAAGTGAGAGAATTCTTGGCTATCTTTCTCCATGGCACCACCAGTCCTCCATGTAAGCCTCAGGGGTAGAGGAAGAAAGGAGGCAGAAAATGAAGAGAAGAGAAAGCCTGTTCTACAATATGTTATTTTAAGATGGACAAAGAAAGAGTTTTGTAGCACCTTAAGGGTGCCATATTTGTTGAAGGGTGAGCTTTTATGTTCTAGAATCCATTCCGTCAAATGCATGAAGTGGTATCCTCATTTGGCAGACACACACACACACATTCATTTTCCCATTCCCTCCAAGAACTATTTGTCTGCAAAAACTCACTTACTGTTAAATTCCTAACTGGTGTCTTAGGTTAGCTGAACTTTGAATGAGCTAGTTGCAAACTGCACATTCTAAAGTTAAAGTACAGTCCTAACCTCAGGCAGAAATTCAGAATGCCTCCTCCTGATTTGTCCTATGATTAATGAGACATCATTGCCAACTCCTTTAGGCTTCATTCTTCACCTCAGCAGAAGTACAGCTATCATCTCAAAGAAATGAAAAACTTCAAAAACTCACTGCAGCAAGGGGGCAGAATGTGGGATTTTCCACGCTCTGCTTTGAGATGATCCAAGTCCCCCTTTTGCAAGCTATGTGTTACGATCGTGCAAAGACATGAGCCATCATGTGCTTGTTGCGGAACGGCATCTCAGACACATTGCACATTGCAATGGCCCCAGCGGGCAGATAAAAAGTTGTACTTTATCTGGCTCAAAATGGGAAATGTGCTAGATCCTGTGCAGCCAAAGAACAGCTGACTCTCTAGAAAATGCCTCCAGCATGAATTAGTGTAGAGTTGTAAATTTGCACGCAAAATTACCCCCCACTTTTTTTCTTTCAAAAAACAAACACAAAACTTGTCTGAAGTGCTCAGATAATGAAGACTAAATCTGACCACTTATGGATGCAGGAAACTTAAAAATCCCATTTTCTAAAACAAAGCAACGCCTTTCCCCCTTTCCCCTTGTAATGCAGGAGTAAGAAACCTCAGGCCCTGGAAAAAATATGAATATTGCACTACAGGCTTCTTCATCTAGCTCTCAGAACTGGGCCACAAATCCTCTCACCAGGACACAGCCATCACTAACCATTTTTTGCATCCTGAGTCTTTCTTTTTGGCTGCAATGTGACCTTGTACTCTGATAATACCTCTTGCTTGCATGGTTGGAGGATGGAGAGGGATGTGCAAATGTGTGTTTAAATTAGCTTATACAAAGGTAAAATTTACATTTCTTACATCTCCCACTTTTGCCACTGGCAAAATACAGTGGAACCTTGGGTTATGTACCGCCCTCCTCATGAACGCTTCGGGTAATGAGCTCCACTAGCCCAGAGATAGGTGCTCCTGGTAGTGAACTTTGTCCCGGGATGCGAGCGGAAGTCGCGCAGCAGCAGCGGGAGGCCCCATTAGTGAAAGCGCGCCTCAGGTTAAGAATGGTTTTGGGTTAAGAATGGACCTCCGGAACGAATTAAGTGCTTAACCCGAGGTACCACTGTACCCTCAGAAAACTGCTCAGTACAGAATATGACCCTCAGGCTCACAAAGTTTCACCATCTCTGCTGTTGTTGTTGGCATCTGGCTGTAATGGCATATCATCATGTCTCTGTGCTTTGAAGGTCCTGAACCGGAAGGGTGCAACAAAGACTGATTTCTCTTGTGCATGCTGCTAGACAGGTCTTACTGTCAACATTATGTGTGCCGGGGGCACAAGATGGCTCAATACAGGCCAAAGTCATCAGTGCACATGGATTGCCAGGAATGAACGTGACTGTTATGGAAAAACAAACTATGCAGTGCTGTATTTCTGAAGGTGGAAGGGCTTAAGTCTGCTTTGAATTCACACCACCTGATCTGGAAATCCTTTCTTCCTCAATCAAGGCAGGTGAGGGCTGGTTCTGGTTATCCAGTTGTGAGGGGATGGTTCTCTGCACATATTCATGTGGGCCCCCCTATTCCTGTGTACTGAGCACTGCTAGGAAAGCCACTCCCAAAGCTAGCCCAAAGCAATCTCTGATTTTCAGTCATCCCCAAGATTATGTGAGCCTAAGAGATTACCTGAAATCTTTTTCCTCTCTGGAGCATCTGTGAATAGTTTAGGTGGGCAAATTAAAGGCTGCAGCTTAACCACACGAGACTTTGATTAGTTAACAAATGGTTAAACAAAACACCCAGCTCATCACTCTTTAGAAGACTAAAACAGTAGTCAGGACTTTTTTTTTTAGTGAAATGATGTAACATCTCTTTTCTGCTTTCCTGTAAATGATTACTGGGCTTTGCAATCATTGCCTTGTCTGTCCTTCAACAGAAATACAGCAATGTTTTGGACACCAAATTTACCACAAGGTTAGCACATTTGCCACGTAATTCAGAACATGTTTCATAACTTTGCAGGCATACATGTTCACACAGTAATCGCCCATGACTTGGCGGTTTGATTTCCAGTTCCTAGATTTATTTTTAGTCAGCTTGGCAAAGTGGAAAGTTTTGCTTCCTCTGTGTTGGAGAACGGCAGCTGCCCCACTTCTGCCACTGCAATACATGGGTGCATGTTTGCTGTCATGGGAACCTAGTGGACACTGCCTGTGATGTCACTGGCGATGATGAGTAACTGTCAGGAAAGGTTGTATGTCCATAGTGTTGGAATTCTGCCTGGGTCAGAGGAATGTGCCACAGCGTAGGCACCGGCAGATATTCCTGTCGACCTCCCCGCGTCTCCACTCTGCTGATAAGCAGGCGAGGTCCGGCGATTCTTCTCAGATGTATGAGAGGAACACACCGTTCTTCCTCTCTCCCCTTTGGTGTCCCCAGGGAGGGGAAAGAAGCAGACAGAAAACTATTTACATCATTTATTTCTGCCTCTTACATCAGTACAGAGAATCATGTCTGCACTCAACAACAGCAAGAAGAAACTCCTCCCAAGTACATCCAGTACGGGTCATATGACACACACACACTGAGCTAACATCCGGTGCTCAGTACAGAATGGACTGCCCCTTTGTTCCCATGGCAACAGTCACAAACATCCTGTCTGGCTTTCCAGCCACAAGCAGCTGGCTGAGCTGCTAGAGCCTTTGCTTGCTGCAGCATTGGTGCTTTATGGTAACATACTCCCCTAAAGTATCAATGTGTGCCGCGAGCAAAGCGTCATCCAGAGAAGAAAACAAACAGTTGTTATATTTATAACATTCCCCTGTTGTTTCAGTTCCACCCTTGGAACTACCCGCCACTGGTTTAACCAATGTACCTCTCTGGTTGTCTGGCTTCCAAGGAATGAGTGCTTCTGCATTACCTTGGCTAGCTACCCTCTGTTGTGTCTTTGTCTCTGACGTAGACACTGCTTCAACCTGCTTTGAGTTGTTAACAATAGCAACACATGCAACAGCTAAGTTAGCAAACTCTTTTGAGTACCTCTTTGGTGGTACACCCTTTGTAACTCTCTCAGACCTGCGTATGAGGTTCTGATCTTCTGTGCTCACTGGTTCAACCTTTGGACTCTGTTGAGAACCAGTAGCAATCAGTGGTTCATCCTCCTCTTCTGAGGGTCTAGTCATTATGTGAGATTTCCTCTCAATGACTGTGACAACTGAGCTGTCTGAGCTATCGCTGTCATCATCAGTACTACTGAACTCAATAAGATCAAACTCATCATCATCATCATCAGAATCGTTTCCTGTGGGAAATGTCTGTACTATCCGCTCTTGCTTTGGAGCACTCTCTAGGAACTTTGTGAGAATCACCTGACCAGATTCAGACAAAATTACTATGTAGAGACCTTTTCATAACCTACGAAAATGCCTCTGGCATTCTTTACACCACCTGGAGCTTCTGTTCTCACATGAGACCCGAAAACCTTAAAATAGGCAACAGAAGGTTTTCTATTGAACAGCTTCTCAAAAGGAGAACATCCCAACTCTGTTGAGACTTTTCTCAACCACACATGAAGATAGGACGCTAGCGACTCAGCCCAATATTCATGTGGCAAATGTGAACTCAGCAATTGCGCATTCATCCCCTTTGCAATTCTTTGTTCACTTTTACACAGACCCCCTGTTCCACGCTTCTTGCGAGACTGCAACTTTGTGGTCTATCCCTTTTCCATCCAGGAACTTCTGAAACTTCTGCAACAGAAAAATTTGCTTCTCATCTGTGAAAAGACAATCAATGTTAGCATCATGCATACTTTTAACCTTGTCACAAAACTCCTGAAACTTTTCTAAAGTTTCTTGCGGTTTCTCCATCATATAAACCCAAGAATAATTAGTGAAACAATCCACACACACAAGGTAATATTTTGCACCGCCTCTAGATGGTTCTAGAGGACCAATCACATCAGCATACACCCGCTGAAATGCTCTGTTGACCTTCTTCGTCTTAGTCACCTTCCTGGTGCTCACACTGGTCACTCCTGCAAGAGAGATTTCGTTAGAAACAGCAGAATTACATTTCATGTAATCACTTTGATCAAAAGTCAACAAATACAGTCCATCTTTCTCTTTGGCAGTAAGAAACAGTTCTCCATCTTTGTAGATCTTGCAGCTTTTAGCATCATAGGACAGTTTCAGTCCTTTCTTTGCAATCTGCGACACGCTCAGCAGATTAAATCTCAGTTCTGGAACCAGGTAAACATCACTTATAGTCAAGTTCAGACTTTCAAGATACACAGTCCCAATTCCAGTTGCTTCCAACTCCTGACCGTTGGCCTGTTTCACAGTGAAGCTTTGCTTCTTCAACGTCGAAAATAGTCCTCTGTGCGGGCACATGTGAACCGTTGCGCCCGTGTCAATTATGAACGAGTTCCCAACATCTGGCGTGGTTCCTTTCGCCATCATAGCCTTTGCAGGTTTCACCTGGCACTTGGTACGGCTTTTGCCTGACGCCTGAGGCTTCGTAGAGCTGCTCTTTGCTCCTCTTGACTGGCGCGGCTTCTTACAGTTTCGCTGTAGATGCCCAGTCTGTCCACAATTGTAGCATCGGACAGCACTCAATGCTACACCATGCTCTCCAGTAGCATCAGCAGTGGGGGAATTAGAACTCTGTTCTTCCCTCCCCTGTCTTTTTCTTCCAGTGCAGCAAGTCTGTCGTGTTCATTCAGGACCACAGCACAAACTCTCTCCGCGGTCAGCTGCGCGGCCGGTAGGGAACCAAGCTGACTGGCAACAACCTTGTAGGTGCGGCTAAGGCTGTTTATCATCATGAAGCAAAACACTTCCTCCTGAAGACGGAAATTGCGTTCCACCATCTGTTGACGCAGAAACTTCATTTCTGTCAGGTGCGCTTGAACATCTCCATCAGGCGCAAGTCTCAGATTGGTCAATTTCTCAAAATACAGCAACGCTGAAGAACCAGCATCTCTCTGATGCGTTGTACGCAGCGTGTCCCATACCTCTTTCGCATTTTCTAAATGCTGAACATGCACCAACTGATCATCTGAGACACACAGAATTATAGCAGTCCTGGCCCTTACATTCTGTGACTCCCAACCTCTGGTTGGTGCTGCAGGGATGGGGTTTTCAATTACATCAAAAAGCCTCTGATTCTGCAGCAGGGCCTTCATCTTTACAGACCAAGATGAATAATTGTCATTGGTTAAGGGAGGTGGGCAAGGCAAACCTCCCCCTTTCTTGGCATCCATCTTGAAGCCAAGCCTCCAGCTCACAATGTCAAACAAACTGTAAAATCCAACAGTTGTTTTTTTCTTTCTCACGCAGCAAACTGCAAATTGTTTACGCTCTTTGCACCTGGCAGCTAAACTCAGGCTGCTATTGAAAAGTCCCTTCCAAGAGCTCATAAACTTGTAGCCAAAACATTCTATGGTTTTGTTTCGCTTTCCCAGGCTTACACGCAGAGTCCAGCCCCTTTGCCAGTAACTTTCCAGGACCGTTACCTAGCAACAATGCATCTCAATGGGACTCCTTATCTACCACAAAAATTTGTGGAATGCAGGCTTCAGCCTTCAAGCTGCAGGCCTCTTCCTCTCGGAGCTTTTGTTTTCTTTGAAACGCAGCTCCGTGAACCAGGGAATTAATCTTCCTGCGTTCACACTTTTAGCCCGAAATGCAGCATACCTTGAACTTTGTTGCTCTGGAAAACACCTCTTCTTTCCATCAGCTGTCTGTGGAGCCTCTGGCTTCTTTCAGACGCTTCTATTCCTCCTTGGAGCAGTGGAGGACAATCCACCAGCCTCTCATGCAGATGTCCGATGAATCGCAACCATCCTCTGCTACCACTGTTGGAATTCTGCCTGGGTCAGAGGAATGTGCCACAGCGTAGGCACCGGCAGATATTCCTGTCGACCTCCCCGCGTCTCCACTCTGCTGATAAGCAGGCGAGGTCCGGCGATTCTTCTCAGATGTATGAGAGGAACACACCGTTCTTCCTCTCTCCCCTTTGGTGTCCCCAGGGATGGTATAGAAGCAGACAGAAAACTATTTACATCATTTATTTCTGCCTCTTACATCAGTACAGAGAATCATGTCTGCACTCAACAACAGCAAGAAGAAACTCCTCCCAAGTACATCCAGTACGGGTCATATGACACACACACACTGAGCTAACATCCGGTGCTCAGTACAGAATGGACTGCCCCTTTGTTCCCATGGCAACAGTCACAAACATCCTGTCTGGCTTTCCAGCCACAAGCAGCTGGCTGAGCTGCTAGAGCCTTTGCTTGCTGCAGCATTGGTGCTTTATGGTAACACATAGTCACATGCAGCCTTCTGGAAAAAAGGAAACACAGGGCCACCTGCTTCACACCACGGTCCACCACCAATTCAAAATAATCCAAGCAGTTCTGTACTCTATCTCTCAGGACATTTCCAGCTTTCCTCAGAGAGAAACTGACTTCAGTGGAAGCTGCTGAGATCTCAGCTAGTTGGCTTCACTATTTTTGTGACAGATTTGGGGAAGTGAATTAATGAAAAGCTTTCCCCTTCTGCAGCAAGCTCCCCTTCTGTTACATTTGAAGTTTGTCAGTATGACTTTGTTGGATCAGGGACAGTTGCAGAGTTGTGATAAGGTTTTAGATGCTCCCCTTCTCTCCATAAATGACTGTCTAGGTAACCCACATCTTCCTTGGTTAACAGTGTTGCTATCAGCCGCCTTGGTGAGGATATGGACTCAGACGTGGAACAACTTGCTCATCGACAAGGTCCTTTCCTCCCCACAAGCCATCTTGCATAAGATTAGTAGTACCAAGAATCCAAAGTGGGTGAGAAGGAATCTTTTTGGCAAAACTATTATGATGGAAGACTCTCTTGCATAAAGTTGACAGTGAAGCTGACCCCCTCTATTCTTCAGTTTGTTTTAAATTGTTTCATTGGATTGTAACATTGTAGGATTCTATGGTTTTAAGCACCCACACACCTGGCCAGGATCTTGTGGTGAAGTAAGAAATCCATTTAAATTATAAAATAATAAAATGGGAATGATGCACAGAAGAAAAAGTCTAAGGGACTGAAGTTGTGAATTAAGGCATATCTTTAAGACCACCATCCCACATAACAGAAAGCCTCTTTAAGATCTCTGCACTTAAAGAAGCTGAATTTGCAAGAGGCAAATTGTTTAGGCTTTGAGGTTGTGTACTCTGCATCACATTTCACATGCTTAGTTACCAATGAAAGACAAGACTCCTTCATAAAAGTAACACATGCACTGAATTACAATCTGAATTCTTTCAATTTATGAGGATGTACATCTCCCCCTCCAGCATTATGCCAGTCACATGCCCGGCATGTGAGTTGGGGCGATGGGGGGCAGAACTAGCTACTAAGCAGTAGGCCTGTATATCCATGGAAAGATGAAAGCATCAATCCAGACCTAAAGATGCGACCTCCAGGGCATCTGATTGGGTCAGGTTTGGGGGGGATGCTTGTTTTCTGTAGCCGCCTGTTGTAAACACTAACAAAATTAGCACCGTATTAAGTTATCCCTTAAAGTCACCCTTTAAGAGGGAGTGTTGGAAAGCTCTTCTTGTGGGAAGTAGAGATATTGGATGCATCTGTAAACAGGATTGTATTTACACACACAGAAAAGATCCCAAATATTTTCCAGCTGTGTTTGCATGTACATTTGTAGCAAATGCCTCCATTTGGGCCTGTTTTACATGACTCACAGCAGAATTTCACAGTATTTTAAAAACCCCATACTAATTAGAAAACCACTCCAGGGTGTGTGTGGTTTTTGGAGTCCAAATCAAGAACTTGAAAAGTTCCACCATTGAAGGCAAGCACTATAGAGTATATGCAGTTTTATCAGCTATTGTGATCGTGTTCTTCAGGAGCATGTCTTGTTGGCGCATACACAATTCACGCCATTCAATTTGATAGAGACATGAGATCTAGCTAAGTAATGTATGCATATGGGTATTTATTGCTTCTGCTGAAAGATTGTCAACCTTGCAGGAGATGGAGCTGCTTCTCCGCAATACGTTTGCATTCAAATCTTGATGGACACTGATATGATGGAGAGTATTGCCCCCTGTGTCAACCCCCAGGACTTATTAGACACTTAGATATGTACTTACTGAATTGCTGGTAAGTTTCAAAATTACTGTTAAGAATTCATAAGCGTATAAACACAACTGTTAATATTCGTTCAAGAGGTTTTAATAACATTTTAAACATCAGACTGTACATTTAAATTTACATCAATCTCAAGATAAAAAATACTTTTCTTTTACAATATTTTTCATTTACAAACCATTTTTTTCCAGTGAAGTGTTTTTGTTTTTGGCAGTAAAAATAGCTGCTACATAAAACTTTCTCCTAACTGCTTAAAAGGAGTCAGAATTATTTCCAAAAATAGAATTCATATTTTAATCAGGATAGTTCATGAAGGGTGAGGGCAAAGGTTGGGGAATGGCCAACTGAAGGAAAAAAGTAAGGACTATACATATAAATTGTTTCCAAAAGGACATGCATAAAAGAGATATGCCATTAATAAATATATTTGAAAACAATATTAACATTTTCAATTTCAGTTAGAATAAAAGGCAAATTGGGCCTTTTATGCCCCAGGCTATATTATTAGTCTCTTGCAAAAAAAATGCTCAAAGTGTTTTTCAGCCAGCCATGAATTATTCTCCTTGCACAAAAAAGGCACTCAGCATGTGCCTATGTGATTTATCAACTCCTTCAGTAGATTAAATACTTGTTCCACGATGCTTAAGTGCTGCTGTTCTGAAATGAAACCTTAACTTTCCTCCTCTTTCAGATGCTTATATGAGCTTAAATTACAATATACAATATGTTAAATAGGAGCATTAAATTGCCAGAGAATCATTATGAACGTGCTTATATACAAAGACAAATTACAGACTTTGAAATGGTACATATTTCCTCCCTCTTTGTGAGGACTCTCTGCCACTGCTCCACCTGGCTCTGAGACTACAGTTTATTTGCGGAGGGCACATGCGCTGCTTTGGCAAGAACGCCCAATGCAAATTCAACTCAGAACCCAGACTTAAATAAAGGATGCCTAACCTTCCCTCTCTTAAATCACACGTCATGACATATAACATCTGCAAGGTTGTTATTTTAGGGTTTGTTCAAGCTAGAAATTCTGGTGGCTATCAGCCTTTGGTATGGGTAACACCCTTAATTATATGGTGGTATAAATAACCAGAACTCTAAACCCTGGAGTACTTTCGTATCTTCCAAGTTACAGCTGGGAACTGTGTTGACCTCACTTGTTGCTGCTCAAAAGGTTGGACACATCAATATCTGAAGCCATGGTGCCCCCAAATACGGCCATTTCTCTTTCCTTGGACTTCACCTGGTTCACAAAATCACTTCTTTTAAGGTCTTTTACAGCGCCCCACTCCAAACAGCCAGAAGGTAAAACTAATGACTGGTGCAGGAGGTCCCAGTTCACAGTTCATGCGTTGTTGCATTCTTCCATCAATGCTACAGAAAATTGCAACGCTCAGTCTTCTGTGTCTGGCTGCACTCCTAGCATTGCATGCAGCTCCTCTGCTGTATAGCCCAACAGGTTATGTAGGTCACATACAAAACGGTATACGTAGCGCTTCCCTGAAGTCTTGTGTATGATGTTCTTGTCATAGTAATAGCGGAGGCCGCGGCTCAGCTTCTCATAGTTCATTTTGGGCTTGTTTTTCCTTCTGCCCCATCGCCGTGCGACCTTAAAGGAGAAAAATGTGGTAAGAGTTATTAATATTCAAGGCAACCTCTGAAAATCTGGATTTTAGGAATGGAGTCATTTAGATTATTCCAAATGCCATGTTCTTTAAACACTAGCACATCCACAAGGCCAAGTTAACTGGAGCATACTAGGAACAAGTTCAAAAGGGAAAGGTGGAATGAAATGGCTAATCCTTAAAAGCTTAATGAATAGCTAAAGACATCTAGGGCATCTAGAGAGTTGCAAAAAAAGGAGGTTTTAAATAATGAAATACTTCCAAGTCACGCTTGAATTATGAGAATTATGAGTATATCTGAAGTGAAAAGCTTCAACAAATTAACTTTGCTGCAGCATTTTTATAACTGAAAGAATTTAAATCATGAAGCAACCACTTGATACCTAATAGAATTCATTCATTCTCTCATTCTCATATAATGTTCCTATCCTGGTTCAGAGTTACCGTATGTCTTTTAAAAAAAAGCAAGCTGGCCAACAAACTATACATGGGAAACAAGTTTTATACATCTAGTTAATACTGCTTATATTAAGGTGCAGAGTACAGGCTGTCCTTCCTCATAGCTCCACCTAAGAGTAGGCGCCAAACAATTTCTATTCATGACAACTGAACTACTAACCTCATCTGGATCTGTTAATTTAAACTCCCATCCATCTCCAGTCCAGCTAATGAATGACTGACACGATTTGTCAGTTAGAAGCTCTAAAAGGAACTGCCACAATTGTATCGGTCCACTACCTGTTAATACCAAGATAAGATAAAATTATTGTATACTGTCATACATAAATTAATGTGTTAAAGAGACTAGCACTCAGGATTTTAGTATAATTGCTTAGTATAACTAAAGTCTTCCTGGGTAAAGGTAAATATGACACCAGAAGTTGAATCAGAAAAAATAAAATATACACCTGTAGTTAACAGGATTTTCTTACAGTAGATCTGGATTCCCAATCTTAAAAAATTCATGGCAACAACTTGAAGGAAACTTCCTGCTCTCCAAACTGTTGGCTATACTTTGCAGTATCCCTTATGTTTCACTCTGAAATCCACCCCAACAATTGAATTTCATCTGAAACATGGATTTCAGAAAAGAACTTGCACTGGGCACAAAAGAATTGTTGAATTCTGCTTTCATTTAGCTTTCATACACACAGAAAAGTGTACCAATAGTGGCTTTAATTAATCTTTATTTTGACGGTAGTCCAATATTGCTCCAGTTACATTTGTAATGGCTACCTCTGTCGTCATTTCACCTAAATAAAAACGCACCCTCACGGGGCATTATGCAATCGGTGAAGGGGCAGAAAAGCCCCAGAGGCAAAAAACAAAAAAGGTCAAGGAAAATATTGTAGTACTTGCCTGTAAACCCAGCTAGAATTGCTGCTGGTATAACTGGTTTCCCTTGCTCCACAGGGTCACTCCTTTCTTGAATGTAGTCTTTAAAGGACATTGTGGGTTTGTTCAGACACAAGGACTGGCTGCAGTCATCTTCAAAACTCTCATAAGATGGCACACGCTGGACATCCACCAACGAGGACTGGCTGTTCCAAGACTGCAGCAATGAATCTGAGCCTTCATAACTTTCTGTGCCACTGTCACTTGAGTCATGCTCTTTAGGTTTACCTGAAAGTGTGGAAAAGTCACAAGTTTGGGTTCACTCAAGTTTTTCTTTGTATTAGTATTGCAGCTGAAAAAATGGAAATGCTAGGAACACCCGGGTTTGAATGGATGAGGCTGAGAATACAGGCTTAAAACTGCAATCTTAGGCTGGATCGAGACACATCAAAGAAGCGTTTCAGTTAAATGCGTTGTAAATTTAAACAGGGAAAACAGGTGGCACAATGTTATATCGCATATACAACGCATATCAATCGCATTTTCCTTTGCCAGTCTAGCTGAGTCCTTAATTCAGTGCAGCAAGCCAATGAGAATGCAGCTTAGTTTCATCTCTTTTCTTTTTAACAGTTAGTCTGCCCCCACTCCACCAATTAAGAACTCAAATTACAGAGGTTGCAATCCATCGTAGTTCAGATTATGTTTAAGTCCGTCAATTTTGCCCAGTTGTAGTCAGTAAGAATACTACTTTGAATCCAAGGGTTTTACTTAATAGATCAGCACATCACTTGAAATTGACTGCAACACCTCAAGAACCACTTCTCATATGAAACAACCTGGTCCCTGTAATCATCATATGAGGCCCTTTTTCTTTGTTACTATGGTATGCATTTTTGTTTATATATTGTAAATCGCCCTGTGATCTTCAGGTGAAGGGCAGCACAGAAATAATTAATTAAGTAAGTAAGCTTATGAAATTTATAGCTTAGTTGCCAACAGCTTAACAAGGCAGGGTTTTTTTCTTTTTTTCTTTAACAAATTGTACTGTACTCCGTTGACCTATCAAAAGGCACTATGAGTTCTCAGCATCTCAAAATAATGATTTGTGGTTGAGTAATAAAGAGGTAAGTTGGGTTGCTAACTCAGAAACAATAAGCTTGGGTTTTTTTAAATACATAATTGCTAGAGCACATGTTAGGAACTGTATTATATTAATGTTTATTTCTCGGAATCTTCTATACTGTAAGCATTATGAACAACAAGGGATCATAGGGAAGTGCAATCTTACCAGAGTTATCCAACATCAAGTTCAAGTTGTTTCTTGCGAAGTCCTGGTTCATGGAGCAGTAGTTCACATTGACAGTTTCTAACTGTGCTTTAGGAAACATCTGATATTCTTGTTTTAGGTTAACTACATTTGGTCCAACAGATGTCTGACATAGGTCATCCAAAAGGCTGGATTTTGGATAGCTGAGGGCTTTTGGATAGCTGGGTACCTGAGCACAATACTGTGCTTGTTCTATGTTAATACCTGGGGGGGAAATGCACATTTGTTTTTATAATACTCATTGCAGACTCCCCTAGAACAGTATCAGAGGTCAAGTAGAGCAATGCATGTATGGCCCTAACACTTGTTAGCACAATGTCAAATGCCAAACATGACAATTGGTCAACTCAATCTCCCCTGGCATCTATAACCTTCTCACCTCTCCCCAGGCAAATATATTGGGGTTTTTCCTTTAAGTTTCTAGTCCTAACACATCAGCATTTTGAAGCATATCCATTCCATTTATCACCAGTTCCTGGCAAAAAAACATACACCCCTCCCCAAATAACCTGACTACCTCCCTCACCCGTCTGAAAGTAAAAGGTATATAAAGCAACTTTCTGTAGATTGCTGAATATGCACATGCAATTTCATCCAGGGTGTATACTCTGTACAGCACAGGTATGAAATTGGCTATCTACTGACATCAAAAGGAAATTCAGTCTTTCCAGCTTTCCTTAACTGTTGTAATTAGCCTAATTAAAGATACTTACCTAATGTGTTGTTGTTGACCCAGTGCATGGATGAAGTGAGATGGGCGTTTTCCATATACTGATCTTGTGGCTTTTCTTCACTGTCTGGAAATAGAAAAAGTATTTGTTTATACATTTTGGACAGGGGAATTTGCTTTCATCTGTTAAAAGGCAACATGTGACATTTGTATAACACTTAACAAAAAGTTTAGCATTTACTTTTGCAAGTTTACCATCCACTGCCCCCAAACAAAACTTGTCATATGTTTCCTGGCTCATGCCACTACTCTGGTTAGACTTATTTACCTTTTATCATTTGATCCAGATGTTCCCAGAGAATATCACCCACATAATCAGGTGCCAATTCCAAGAAGTGCTCCTTTCCCAGTCTGCACAACTCTTGCCCATCCATGGCAAACTTCTCAAAGTTCACATTTACCAAACTAAATTCATTGGTGGCCCAGATAAGCCACTGGCACACCTGATGATGTGACCATAACCACGGATCTGCAAGGAGCAAGACAAACAAATTAACATTAAGGAAACTCTCTGCAGGACACACACTTATGCCTACTGGCTGCTGCCTCTTTTACTAACGCCTCTCCATATATTCTTTTGAGAAGCATCCAGTAAACTAAACCTACACCAAGCTCAGGCTACAATCCTCAAAAGATCATTTGCAAGCATTTAGTTTAGTTCAGAAACTCTCATTTTGTTTACTGGTAAAACTACCTTTCTAATGCTAATCAGTGTAGTCTTTTGCATTAGAAATAAAGTACTTACTATTTGGAATACCCAGTCTGCGCTGTTCCTTTGTGAAACCACTGAAAGTTGCTTTTAAGGCCTGACTCATCACAGCCTTACTGCATGGGGTTAAGAGAGGCAATTCACAGCTGTTTGATTCTGAAAGGCAGAAGAGTTGCAATACTTTAGAAAAGGGAAAGGGGGGAAATGTTTAAGTTTCTTCTTTCTCAACTGCAGCAATGCTTTGTTATTAATATAGATTTTGGACCCAACTGTATTCTTTACAGAAGTTGCCAGCGACGTGGCATTAGAAGAGACTAGCAATATTTCAACACTAGAAAAGAACATAAAGTAACCGTGTTTAGAATTGTTTGCAGAAACATAGTAATTATTCCGAACTTGTTATTTAGCTCTGCATTCCTTCAGGACAGGATCACCAGCATTGCTATCAATGATTTTAACTCGCTTTTTGTAAGAAAGAGTTTGCCTTTGGTATACAGAGTTATAATCATTTCAAAACCACAATACTTCGCTTATCTATGTTCTATTGACTATTTCGTCAGGTGTACAGCACTATTATGGCAAGAACAGTGTTGCTGCAACTGGGGCTCTGACGAACTATCTGAATTCATTTACTGATAGGCTACCTGCCAGTGTGACTTTCAGAGTAAAATACTACTTTCATTATCAGAAGAACTAAATGAACTTTGCATCCTGATCAGTTTCAAGCCTAGGACCAAGAAAGCAGTCATAGTGCTCCTTTGCTTGTAATGGCTTCGCCATTAATTCCAATAACTATGCACATCTTTGTACTTTGCTACTCAAGCTAATGGAGCCACATGCACAATCTGGACTGAGAATTTTAAATTTATATTACGAGGGGTATACCTGTGCCCAACTCTACCAAGACATTTCCCTCATAAGCACTATAGTGGAACCTCTACTTACAGACATAATCAGTTCCGGAGGTCTGTCTGCTGGTCAAAACAGTGCGCTAGAAGAGGCGTCTTGTGCAAATGTGCATTCGGCAGTAGTGAATCGCGGCAAACCCGGTGTTTACTTCTGGGTTTGCCGTGGACGCAACTTGGAAAGTCCGCGAGACGAGTCGTATGTAAGTCGAGGTTCCACTGTACTCAAATTAATAGGAGCTACACATGAGCAATGACTTTGCTTCAACGCTATCCTATTATGAATAATAGGAGATGTCCACAGATTGCGCCTTCTCTAATTCTACATACAGGTGACTTCAGACCACATCCTGTTTAGAGTATTCCATTCTATTAACTAGCATGACAGTGGTGTTACATTTCTTAAACTGGTATTTACCATAAGAAATAGAATCAAGGCCTGTTGGCACTTCCTGGACTGTCTGATCTTCATTTAATGAGGGAAAGTATCCAGTAAACAAAGAATTTGCACCTTCAAAGCAATCAAATGCAGGCTGCCGCTGAAAAAGAAAATACAAGAAGTTCAGTTTGGATATTTTAGTACACGCACAAGTTTATAGAGCAAATGTGATATGGTTATGTAACTCATTGTTCCAGGAATCTTAACAGTTCCATTCTATGTTAAGCAGCCCTTTCTTAGTCAGTATCATTTCCCTTGAAACTGACTAAGTACATACAAAGGATTGACGTTGGATTTCCTGATTTACTAAAAGCTGTAGCAGTAGTACAAAAGCATCTTCAGATTCATAATGTCATGGAGCATATCCTTGCAACATTTTAAAAGCACAATCTGAAATTTGAATTAACAAAGGTTTAGGTATTATTTTAAAGGATTTGCTTTATTTTATGAAGCACTATTCGCATTTGAATGACCACACAGCACTATAAATTCTATTAAGGGGGGAATAGGTATGGTCTAGACTCTAGAAAACAATGGGAGACACACATGAAATCTGAACAGTAATCTGAGGTTTTATAATTATTTACTTTCCTAAGTAACTTCCTTTTTATGAAGCTATTCACCAGAATAGTTTTATGAAGTGCACACTAACTGCATACTGATATACAGAAACTGCACACTAACCTTTCTTGTATAATTGTGTATAATATGTATAAGCACCTATTTGATAAAACAAAAATCACACACACACGAGAATACAACACTACCATCTTTGTAGCAGCCATTGTAAAGCAAGTCTGATATAAAAGATTTGATACATTCCACTATTTTTTTTCACCTATTAACTCACAAACATAGCCATTCACTGAAATGTTTTCACATTATTAAAATGGTTAGCTTGTTGAGGTGTTAAGATAGACTTCCAAGAACAATGTGTTTGACTTTCTACTGCTTTTATTAATATATTTGTATTCAAATGGTCAGGGAAGCAGCATATCTATGAAGTCTGGGTGCCAGTTTTGGGTAACTTCTCTAATACACTGCTACTGATTTCACCCTTTAAATTCAAAAAAGCATATCACAGGGTGGAAAAGCCAGCACAAAGTACGTCTCTCAGATGTGTGCCTCTAATGGCTGGTTTTAGCCCAACACTAATTTAGCCAATGTGATTCAGTCTAGAACAAAGAAACTGTTCATATAGACATTACTCCAATAAGAAAATTCAGCTTTAAGAACTTAACTTGAGCAAGTTGCTGTACAAATGAAATGATTAATAATAAGCCAGCTGTCTAGCCTTCTAACAACATAAATTCTTTCAATGTTAACTGATAAAAGATCTGAGTCAACACTTTCAACATAATCTGGAAACTCCTGTGTTTTGTGTAAACAAGTGACCCTTGTACTGAGTCACTGGAAAAAATGCAGCAGAATTAAGAGTGAGTAAAAGGCATGCTGTACTGAAAAAAATGTTTTGAATATGAAACTAAACAGCACAACGAGCACGTTAAAAGCATAGACACATAAAAATCCTGAACAAATGAGGAACAGTTGTACAATGTTGGAACTGTGCCCAGAAGGCCAACGTAAGTCAACCAATATGCCTTCAATATTGTTTGTGACCGGCCTACCAGCCAAGAAAAGGTTAGCAAGCATCTTCCATAATGCCTACACTTATATTATTTTGTCTTAACTAAGTAAAAATACAACCTTGAACAGTTTATTGCTAAATTAAGACATAGCTTCATTTTGCTAAATTATTCTGTCTCCGATTCCCTCAAAGGATTGAATGTCACGCAGTATTGAAAGAAATCAATAGTGGAATTTTTAAAGAGACATTAGTTGTTGATGTCACAGTAAGCCAAAACAAAAGACAAAGCACTTCTCATAGAGGACTTTGAATTTTTAAACTACAGGACAGTTTGGGTGTAAATACAATCAACTGTACATTAAAATGCTACTTGACACCAGCACATTAAGCTTTTGGCTATCTCAACAGTGCATTTATTTTATACACCTGTCTTGGTGAGATCACCAGGCAGGATTTGGCTTTCAAATTGCATAGCAAATAAGAAAACAGTTTCTGTTATTCTCTTTTCAAATGTAGAAAGCCTATATGCAAATGACACAACATCGAATTAAACTAATAGTCTTTACTGCACTGTTACTGAAAATGTTAGTTTTTAGCTGGAATAGAAGTATATTGCTTATAGCATGTAAAAATAGTTTCATGCATGCAAAATTAAAGTGTTACTGAAAATGTTTGTTTTTCACAACTCACCTTGAGCAGTCCTCTATATGCATTGCACACAGGTGCTACCTGATCCATGTTTTTGATTCCAAAGTCACTCATCTAAAATGAGAAAAGATTATATATATGAGAGCTATTTGTTGACAGGGGGGAAAACGCTTTTGGCTCATGCATGAACAGTCTATCTGCTGCAGTTTACAAAGGTCATACATGAATGTCACCAATTTCCTTCATTCAGAAGGGAGAACATAGGAGAAGCAAATCAAAAGTTATTATTTTAAAACGTTCTTTTAAACTTTAATGTCCCAACTCCAAAGAGTTACACAACTAGCTTTCAAACATCACCCCACCTCACAGAAATATTTTGAAAGAGGGTAATTTGCCAAGCTGTATGTGATATGGCTTGGTGGGTGGAGGGTGTGTCACTGACCAATCCAAAACTCCAACAATCAGTATGTCAGACTTGGCTATTTTAACTTACAAGTTGCAACATAATGTTCTACCAACACGGAACATTTTTTTATTTTTAAAGATCATTATACACAATTGGGTGCAACCATCAAAGTACTCACTGTGGGAGAAGACTAGGCATCAAACACCAAAATACCAATCGCTACAACAGCATCTTGACATGTACGCTATAAAGGTTACGTTGATGCTGCCTAGTATTTAACTTATAATAAGGATTATGAAATAGGGAGGCATTTTGGCTCAGTGGCTGGACTTTGGTATGGCACTGTGAAATACAAGTTTAAATCACCAGTCAGCCATGAACACAATGGGTGGTCTTGGGTAAGTCAACAGCATCTCAGCCAAACCTATGTCACAAGATTGTTGTGAACACAATATTTCATTTTTGCTCTACTTCATTTCTACTGATGAAATCTCTCTGTTTTATGTAGAATGACTCCCTTCAGCTTCTGGCAAAAGTATAGACTGTCTGAATTATAAATTATTACTGAAACACTATAAAATGCTATTGCTATCTAAAGATGGTATTATTCATCATCCACTCATCATGAACAGCTGAATACTTAAGTATGCATGGCCTTAAGTGAGCTTTCCCAAAAATCCATAAAAGTAAGCGTACACATAGATCAAACAAGAAAAAAAGGTTTTAATACTGTTTTCAATTCTTTCTAAAATCTCCCCTCCTTTTTTTGTTCACAGTATGAGATCATATAAAAAGAATACTGTTGGAACTTAATACTGATAGTCATTTGAAAACTAAAGAATTGTTAGAGAGTAATGACACAGCAAGCAGCACCTCATCCTAATCACATCCATTTGGTTAGAGAATCTCCCAGCTATTAGTGGAATTGACTTCCATATAAGTTTCCTTAGGGTCATCACTCTTCATTAAAACAATTACTTTAGAACAGATATATTTTATCGGACCTAGTTCCATATTTTTGTTAGCCTTAGAAAAGGTACACTCTAGTTTCCTACCAACTCAAACACCAATTTTGTACTCACTTGCTCCAATTATCCAATCAGGCCTATACAACCTACAGGCCTGAAGTGAAATAAAACCAGAGCCAATTCTTATTAGCCTCCATTAATTCTTAGTCCTACTAAATGTAAGTAGGCCGCCCTGACTAACTACCCATGTTTCAAGCTCAGCCTTGGGCAGTGGTGTTGTCTGTGCCACCCCCCACCCCACTTTTGGCTCTAGACTCTAGAGAAAATGTGAGCCTTGCCCTTGGGCTGCTCTTCCCCAGCACTACCTAATGATCAACTTTTCACATCATAAATAAATTTTACTAGGGGTTTCCACAGGCAAACTGTACACGCCACTGTAGATATCTATAATTTAGCTCCTCTATTTCCCCATTCACTATAATGGAGAACTTAAAAGTAGCTATAACTTTTCTCATTTTGGCCAAAGTGGATGAGATTTACAGGTACAGGAGCTCCTCCAGAGTGGATTAAGCTTGCCAAATTGCAGACAAATAGATCCGGGGGCTTTTTGTGAGGAAAGTAAAAGGCATTCATTTTCTTCCATAATCTCTTATGAAAGCAGAGCAGGGGTTTCTCTCTTGCTCTTTCTTACCTTAGAACAGTTAAGAAGTGGTTGGGTCATGTGTATTCTTGATTCTAAAGTTTTAAAAACTCTGCAGTTTCACATTGGGCCTAGTTTCTGGTGCCCTTCAATAGATCTTACAGACCTTGCCTGTGTCCTCTGTTAGGCCACTCCAATACAGGCTTTAAATCATGATGCTTTTGTAGAACACTCCTGTGGAGTTCTGAAGAGCTCTGGGTTTGTTTGTGTTAAAGCAGAACAATGAAGGATTTTTTTTTTAACACCTTAACTTTCATTATTTTTTTAAAAAATACCTCTATTGCTGGGCTTAACAAAGAACAACCCAGAGTCTTCCGTGCCCTGCAGGCAACATGCTGGACAGCATCACTTATTGCAAAGCCCACAGACCTAGGATAACTAGATATACAATGACATAGTAATTCTGTGTTTAAAAACCTAGAAAATAAAGTGACACTCTGTGCAGGCCCTGTTCTAAACTGGGGGGTGGGGCGGCAATTGCCTACATCATGTTTTAACAAGACCCCCCCCTTCAATCTAATTTGCTTCTTTATTCAGCTCCCACACATAACTGATGCACACACTATTTGATTATTGTTGGGATAAAGGATTTAAAGAGACCAAGAGCAAACTGCACTACAGTGAGGGGAAATGATAACGTACTTTATATTTAATAGTGTCAGGAACAGTATAATGTGAGGTCTCTGACTAAAACTCTTAAAACTACTGTTGATGGAACTTGTGATAAGACCTGAGTACATTAACTCAACAAGAGAGGATCAAAGAGAAGGCTATAAAAGCAAGCTTATGGGGCGTTGTTCAGTTCGTCACAATTGAGCACAAATGTTTTATAGTAATGCTTTGGCACAGAGTTGGTTTAACCCTTATCTTTCAGACTGGTTATCTGTTTCCAGGAATCCATCTGTGTATCCACCTCATGTACTTTGCGTAAGGAGGTTATCAGCCAACAGATCAAAATGCTGTTAATTTTAATGTAGGGTTTTTCCCCCTTACAAATTCCACACCTGGCATGAAAAGGTAAGAACATGGCCTAGGTTTTTCTCCCTTATGACAAGTCTTTAAAATCCCTGACCATTAAAGTGGAAATCCATTTTAATTTAGTGTCACTTTAAGTTGTCTGCTCATATAGAAATCTGTATTGATACAGAATTTTAAAACCTCAGGTTTATATAATGAGCTATTTAAACTTGAAAGAATTTATGTGGTAAGTATGAAATACTTTATATATTAATTATACTGGGTGAACTCCTGGTCTCTGTGTGTTTTCAAACATACATGGGCTCTCTCTCCTCCTAGTCGAAAATACATTTTTTTCTGATAGCTCCACTAACACAGTTCTTTCAAAAATCAAATTGCAACAAGCAATGCTTTCTTAGCTTCAAGAGAAGCTTTCTTTTCAAACAGCTTTGTTTATGGAGGCAGAGGCTAGTTTCCTGAGGTTCAGCACTGGCTACAACTGCATTTTATATTAAAACTGGATATTATTGACCAAAATCTCCTGAGCTAAATGGGTTCCTGTAAATAAGCATCTTCTACATAAACGATGAATATGAAGAGCCCTTGCCCAACTAATTAGCTGATATTTCTTCCAGTAAAATATAAATAAATAAGTGTTACTGATGTTTAAGCAAGATTTTCCTGCATTCATTCATTTTCTGGAGAAGTTTCAGTTACATACATACTGCCATGACTGTAGCATGTTTAAGAAAAGCCATATGTAACATGTGGTGCTCGATTGTACAAGTATGCATAGGTATATCTTCTGGGTACATTTTTTATAAAGGGGGAAGGGGAATAGGTGAAGAGATAAACAGCCTGTTGCTTGTTGTTACTCTCTAGCAAATCATAGTATACCAAAAAACAAGTCTGGAGGCATATGCTTTTTGTGGATAAAACTAGGCCTTACTTTTCCATTTGCCTTATAAACACATGGTCAAGCTAGCAGGTAACTAAAAACTTACTTATGTGTAGGTGATTTCAAGCAGGATTAAGAATTCATTTTAGGGCTATGAGGAAGTCAGCCAGAAGCAGTTAATGCATTCATGATCAACATTTAGTAACCAGAGACCAAAACGTTAAAATACTAAAAATACTAACTATAAAAGATCACTAATGATTTTATCCCCTTGTCCTTTTCAAAGCAACATTATAAACAACTTAATTTCTTACAATAAAGTTTAAAAGTCTAATCAACAGTGAACCAGTATTAATGTGAATATGCCACACAAACAACCTATTCACTCTCACAAAAGGTACACAAAAATGCAGCAAGACATTTAGCTGTTGGGGGGGGGACGACCCATACAGACATAATTTTTTTAGGGCAACAATTTCCTTCTCTGATCCTGCTCATATCCAAAGAAACATCCATTAAGTGCCATTAGCACGTGGATCAATAGCATTACAAGATTCATTTATATCGGAAATGAAGACTTAATGCGGTAAAAGCCTTCTGCATGCAACACTTTATGCAAAAAAGAAATAGTGATCAAACTACAGTACAAATACTGTGACACTTGATCTTAACAGCCCAAATATTTACCAGAGTGAGCAACAAGAACACACTAAAAGTGGGGTTTTTTTTAAATAAAAAGTTTGTTTTTCAAACTCCTTTCATCTTATATGCGCCTCTCCTCTTTCTTCTAATCACATGGAGATCAACTGACTTGCAAAGTCAGATCTGAATTATTCTAGTTCACGGACCCCAATCACAAATCCAAACAAAAAAAAATTACACCAACGCATTTTTAGAAGAGCTGCTCTAGTAAAAGCGAGATAAGGCCAAAACAACTGTTTTGCCGGGCCAGGGATATTTTCACCTTTGATTCCGAAGCAGTTATTTCCCACCAGCACAAACATTTTCAAGGCAGAACTGATGGCCGAAATCCCAAGAGCCCAGTTCAGAAAGAACTCCAAAGCAGCTTCCGGGAAAGCGGAAAGACCTGTTACTCGCTAAGCAAAGCAACGCCTGCTCCCTCGCTCCGCCGGGATGTGCCCGGCATCCCTACGACGAGAGCCCGCGCTGCAAGCCACACAAAAAGGAAAACGGCCACCGTGTGTGTGTGAGAGAGAGAGAGACAGACAGACAGACAGACGGACGGACGGACAGACAGAGAAACACACGGAGCAGAAGACCCGTATCCGGCTTGGCGAGATGCTCTTCCACCACAAGCACCGATTAGCGCCTCTGGCCCACAGAGCACGACAAATCCCTGGCCAGAAAGGCTGGGGGAAAGGGCACGGCGCTCTCCGTCTTCTCTCCCCCGCCCCCGCCAATTCCCTCTCGCCCACCTGCGCCCCGTCGCCAGTTACCTGAGCCCGCCTGCCCGAAGGCGCCTCCCTCCAGCCCAGAGAAGCGCGCGCGCGCGCCAGCCTCCGCGAGCCCAGGTTCCCTCGTGCTCCCTCCCTCCGTCTCCCGGCTTGTGTTTCCCGCGCCGCGCCCGGCGGCCTCGCTCGAGGTCCCTCACCTGGCCGAAGAAGATCCGCACTCCGCCGCGTCCAAAAGGCGCCTCCGCTTGTGGACACCCCCCAAAAATATCCTTGCGCGGCAGCCGAAGGCGCGCGCACAAAGCACACGGCGACGTTATCCCAACACGGCTCCGGAGGTGGAGACGACCCTCCCGGCAAAGCGCCACCAGCCGCGGCCGAGTGAAAGGGGCGAAGAGGCTCTCGAGCAAACTCCCAGGCCGCCGAAGGACGTGTTTGCGTGTGTGTGAGGGAGCTCGAGGTGGCTTCCCGCCGGCGCTGCTGGTGGCCCTGGAGTGACTGCGTTGCGCTGGCGCGGGTTGGGCACGCCTGGCTTCTTGACGGGGCGAGGGCGGCGCCGAGGGAGGGAGGCGGAGCGCGAGCAGGAAGAGCCGCCCCTCCGCTCTGCTGCTGCTGCTGCTGCTGCTGCTGTGCTGCCCCGCTGCAAGCAGGAGAGCAGCCCCAGCTGCCTCTGTCCCCTCGACGGAGACGCCGGGAAGCCTAGAGGGGGAGGAGATGGCGAGGCTCAGAAGAAACCTACTTCGCAGAACAAGGCGAAGGAAGACCAAAGCCCTTGATCCACTTAGATCTCAGAAACTGAAGCTTTCCGAGCACTTCGAGAGCGCAATGACGAGAGCCTTTTTGGATCAGACCAATGGCCTATCTTGGTCCAGCATCCCGTTTCTCGCAATGGCTAACCAGATGCCCGTGGAAGCCCCCAAATAGGAAATGAGCTTGCCCGGAGCTTATTGTTGTCATGCTCAGGAAGAAAACCCATAATTCTTAAGTTTATCTGTAAACTGTCAGGGGAAAAAGCAGGGTATAAATAAATATTATAATAATTCTTAATATTAATAATGATTTTATTATTTATACTCCGCCCATCTGGCTGGGTTTCCCCAGTCACTCTGGGCAGCTTCCATCTGAATATGAAAACATAATAAAATGTCAAGCGTTAAAAACCTCCCCATATAGGGCTGCTTTCAGATGTCTTCTAAAATTGTGTAGTTCTTTGTCTCCCTGAGTCTGATGGGAGGGCCCTACCGCCAAGAAAGCCTTTTGCCTGGTTCCCTGTAACTTCACTTCTCGCAGTGAGGGAACCACCAGAAGGCCCTCGGAGATGCTCCACAGAAAAAATATATAAATTGCTCCACACAGAATGTATGAATGAATACACCTCTATCACCTCTTCTACCTTTTTTAAAAAAAAAAAAACTAAAAAGCCTCAAATGTTGTGGCCACTCCTCATAGGGAAGTTGCTAAAGCCCCATGATGCTTTTGGCTACCCTTTTCTGAACATTGCCCAACTCTACAATATCCGAGTGATGTGCTGACCAGAAGTGTATGCAATACTGCTAGCGTGGTTGCGCCATAGATATGTATACAGGCATTCAATATTGGCAGTTATAATTTCAAACTTGTTCTGGACGATCCCTAGCATGGGATCCACCTTTTTCATAGGAAGGGCAGAGTACAAGGTCGATGGTAAGTGAACAGACATTTCTGAGAGAGTGAGCAAAGGCTACTTCAGGACATAGCTGTCAACTTTTCCCTTTTCTTGTGAGGAATCCTATTCGGAATAAGGGAATTTCCCTTTTAAAAAGGGAAACATTGCCACCTATGCTTCAGGGGTCAGCAACCTTTTTCAGCCATGGGCCGGTCCACTGTCCCTCAGACCTTGTGGGGGGCTGGACTATATTTTTTTGGGGGGGGGGGAATGAACGAATTCCTATGCCCCACAAATAACCCAGAGATGCATTTTAAATAAAAGGACACATTCTACTCATGTAAAAACACGCTGATTCCTGGACCGTTCATGGGTCGAATTGAGAAGGCATTTGGGCCGCATCCGGTCCATGGGCCTTAGGTTGCCTACCCCTGGGCTACTTTTTACCATTCATGATCTAACTGATAATACAAACAAAAAACGAGTTAATGCACATTAAAGGATAGCTCGTTTTGACTTAGCTTGAGGGTATGCCACAAAGAGAGGAGTCTAACCCAAACACTGGAGCCAAATATATTTGTGGGGCTGGGCCCCTACAAAGTCAATAGGCAAAGTTGCGGGCAACCACAATCTTCAGCATGCGATGGCACCTATTAACCCAAATATGCAATATCTTTAGTTACACAAATAAATGTTCACATAGATTCTATAGACATACCAATATTTAAGGCCTGTTTGTGTTATTACTGCTTACATGCCACAACGGCTTCCATAGACAATGAAGTGGCCGTGATATGTTAGATGGTTCAAAACTGTTCATTTCCACGGTAAGTGATAACTGGTGATTTCTCCAACTTTCCTGGCTGGTACCATGGATTATGTTTATATGTGGTCATAAATTGTATTCCAGGCACCAGAATAGCATTTATATTTAATAGATGTGATCTGAAGTAAATGGGCTGTGAGACTCATTTTTTATCTCCTTACAGAACACAATGCAGACTACACTTGTATGTGAGATGTACTAGTCCAGGAGTATATAGACAGAAGCACATCAGACCTATTTTATTATTATTAATTCTTAATGCAGGAAGCTCTTGGGCTGTATTACAGACTACATCCTATATCCCATAGGCATGTTTAATTATGTATATCATTATTATGTTGTTCAATACAAATGCTTAGGACTTTTCAACAGTTTTGGAAACTCACATTTATTTGCTTTTCAGTCCACTCTTGTAAATGTTACGTCTCAGTGTGCCCGATGGGGCTTAGTCCCAGGTATGTATGCATGGACTATCCCTCCTAGTTCTAATTAATTTGCTTGTTTTCTTGGAAGTAAATCCCACTGTATTATTCAGTGAGGGTTACCCCTAATTAAGCAAGAATAGGATTGCAGGCTCAGCTTCTATATCTGAAAGAACAGTATCTCTTGAAGAAGTATTTATGATATGATAATGCTTTGCTCTCTTTAAGGTTGCATTCTCTGGAAGCTATCATATGATGAATGGTGGCAGGAATGAATAAATATTTCCTTTAACCCTTTGGTGTTCTTTGTTTTGTTTCATTGATCAGATTATTGTACTGTTTACTGTTATGCTTTAATGGCTGCTGGTTTTTGTTTTTATTTGGTCTTCCTTTAAGTGCTGATTTTATTATTGTCTTTACTCTGTTAGATTTGAATAAACTAGGGATCAACAATTTGGGGGTGCTATCCTATACATGTTTAATAAGACGTAAGTCTTGGAGCTTTCTTTGATGCTTGCTCCGAGGTTAGTAGTAACAGGATTGCTGCCCAAAATAGACATTTTATTAGGGGCTTTTGTACTGTTTAAATTTATATTTTTGGTGCTGTTTGGTATGTTTCTAGCATTTTATTCTGTATTTTAATGTAATATGAATTCATTTCTGGCTGTCATTTTCCACATTGCCTTGAATGCCTATGGACAGTGAGATGACTCCTAAACATCATTTGTAATAAATTAATATCCCTTTCCTAAAATGTGCTTTATTTGGTTTTATGCTCTTTTGAAGGATGCAGAATAAGCTAAAATTAAATGTGTACTTAAGCAGTCATTCATATTGTGATACAGCTAATATGGTAAGAGTATTGCAGCCATCCTGTTGCAATAAAACACCACTAGTTCTTTCTCAAGGGCCAAAGGGTTTATTTCTACTCAACTTCCTCCTTAATATACCAAACAGTCCCCAGGAGGACACCAGCTCTCATTATTCTATTTCAGGCCTTATTTTAATAGGTGTTATGTTAATGCCACACAGCTGCTGGAAACATAAAACATTCCATGGTCATTTTAAAAAATTAAGCTTTACCCTTTATGGCAGTAGAGGAGGTGATAAACCGAATGTAGGGTATCCCCCATGGCCAGTAGTGCAAAGTAACTTTAAACATTCCCATGATTTTTAGTTAAATATTTCAGGACTGCAACATTTGGAGTAGACCTAATTGGCTATTATTGAAGGATGTGAGGCAGAACTGCGCTTTCCTGATAAACGATGTAAAATAAAACGACCAATATCACAATGCCATTATGCCAATCTATTCCGCAGTTGATAAGCTGCGTATGGTTCTGGTTGCTTCACCTCAAAAAGGAGATTGTAGAGCAGGAAAGGGCAACCAAAATGATCAAGGAGCCCTGTTCTATGAGGGATGTTCACAACATTTGGAGCTTTTTAATTCAGAATGAAATGGTGGGGGACATAGCAGAGAAGTATAAGATGGCGTGTGGTGTGGAGATAGAAAATAGGAGGGAATTTGGGGCCATTTTGGAAGATTCAGGACAGTGCATAGTTAAACATAGCTTAACAAATCACTTATATTTTAAATCAAGTGTAAATGTGCAATCATTGTACTTTAGATGAGATATACCATTGCAAGCTCATGCTTCTTTTTTTAAAAAAAACCAGTACTTGGTTTATTGAATTTATATACAGCCCTATACCCAGAGGTATACTTTGGGCCCAACTATTGTGACATCAATGTGCAGTTGTAGTTGTGCTTTTTTTGTTGTGTGGAAATAACTTCTTTCAAACTAGGAAGCACTTGGGTTTCAGGGATATTGCAGCTTCTCAGCACATGGATTGCAGTGTACTGTTGCAAGCGTAGTAAAGTAACCATCTTCCACCAGCAGGTGAAGTTGTATTTGGGAGTAGTGCCTTGGGAGTGGTTGTGTGAGTGATACAAGGACCTATTGGACTTGTGTTTGAGACATCACTGATGATGATGAGTGAGAGCACACCCACATAAACCCCAAACAGGCCACCCCCATATTATGAGCCTAACCCCAGTACTCAACCCACAAAGAGAGGAATTGCACAGGCTCAGCTGAAATGAACAGACCAAAGTTGGAAGACCCTTTGTTGTTGTCCTGGCAGTATTCAGTATTTAGATGTTTCATTTAAATCTCAGCAGTGAAACTGAAACTGGACGTCTCCAGATTTTCTGTTGAACCTGGTCAGTTTTCACTCTTGTGCAAGCCCCACCCTGGCTGTGCTCCCGTTCTGAGGTGCCACAGTTTGCGTTACCCAGCTTTAAAAACAGATAGGGAGAACCTTTTCCCTTTCTGGAACCTTCTCCACATTCCTTTGAACATAAGCTGTCAGGGCCAACATGCTGGTGATGGGAAGAGTTGAAAATGGTAGTGGGTGGAGCAGAAAGTGGGCCCAACACCCCTTTTCTCAACCTTTCTTTGCCACCACCTCCCCCCCCTACAGGTTGCCCTTCCCTGTTTTAAACATAGTGGTTTAGGAAGGGACAAGTGTGGGTTTCCCCACATCTGCAAGGCTGTTCCCCCTGCAGTAGTATTACTCCATCCCTTTGGCAGGTGGAGGCCCTGGATGGAGCTGGTGCCTGTGGGCTGAATAATACAGGACAGCTTTTGAATAAAAGCTTGCAAGGCCACCTCACAAAGGATAAACAAAGATGGGAGAGACACTTTAAACTGTGGATAACCCCCTTGAGACCTGATATCTGATTTCTGTTCTCAAATGTGTACAATCAAGAAGATTGTGACAACAAACATTAAGGGAGGCGCACAAAAGCACTGATTATGATGATAGCACTTCTTAATGCAGCAGAGGCATGATCTAATAAGGCAACATCTGTTAAACTCATAAGGGAAGCCTCTGCAAATTGTATGTCAGCTGGATAGAGATTTTAATTATAAGACTGATGAGAACAATTATACTGCCCTTTATACTGAGGAAGCAGCTGTCAAAAAGGATAAGATGGCAGAATGGGGGTTCTTTGTTCTTTGTCAATTATTTCTCTCTCTCTCTTGTATGCGATGCCGTGAAAAAAATGTTTAAACATTTTCCTCCTCCTTCTGAAATAACTGTCTGATAAATGAGAGGCTTGCTTCAATTCTGGAGCTTTTCACGATATGTATATATTATATATTATATTATATACGTGTGTGTAATTTTCAGATGGGCTTACAAGAAGGCTTCATACATTTAAAACCGACCCCTTTCAACAAATAATCCTGGGAACTGTAGTTTGTTAAGGGTATTGGGAATCATAGCTCTGTTAGGGGGAAACTACAGTTCCCACGATTCCTTTTTGGGGGAGTGGGTAGGAAGAATGTGCTTTAGATGTGCTTTAGATGTGTTATAGTTTTTTTTGCCATGGTCTGGGCATGACTGACTGTTCTTCAGACAAAAAAAGAGCCTTGTGTGTGTATGTGTAGTGCTGCACGTGTCACTGCACAATGGCAACACCATCAATACTGTTGTGAAACCCATTGAGAGCTGTACTATTGTGAAATCTCTGTGGCTGGGATTTTTTATTTTATTTTTAAAGCAAGCTCTTTTTCATGATAGTTTTCACATTATTGCCAAATGCCTAAATCTGTGAACGCCAATTGAGAGGAAGCTATGGAAGTGTTGCTGCATTATAGTTTACTATAAACGGCAGTGGAATGGAATTTTCCTCATTCTTGGCATGAAGTTTGACATGCCTGAGCCTGTAATTTTCTGTAAGCATTTTGGAGTCCCTTATTCTATGGGTTCCCTCTGTCGTGTGGTTTATGTGGTATGTTACAAAAATGAAATAAAAATTGTTAGATGTCACTGGAAGTGGGCACCACGTACTTCCATGGATATCAGTATCCTTGTCTGTTTTAATGTTTGTGTAAAAATGCCCCGGGCACTCCAGGCTTGAATCATGAGCTGACCTTGGGGAACCTGTTTGGATTTTAAGAAATACATGCATAAAGAGGGGTTCACAAATTTATTGCTTATCAAGGAATTGTTGCTTTTGTGTAAGCCAATTTTGAAACGAAATTGCATAAGCTGAAAATCTTCCATTTATCTCTTTGTGCTGATTTGTACCACTGTTTCCTATCATTTTTTAACTGTAAACAAAGCAACATTTTACTGGGACGTAGGCTTCTAAGGGAACATGGATATAAACCACTGGCATCTCAGAGATTTATAGAAGGATACTTTTAACTAATAAGTGGAACAATATGCTTGCTTGAGATATACAGTATTGATAATGGTTTTCCTACAGAGCTACACTAAATTTGTACTGAATACTATAAGTATCAAACCTGGTAGGTAAAACTGCCTCCTGATAAGTTAAATGAGTTGGTGGGGGTTTGTAGTAAACTTAAAAACAAAAAAACTGACAATAAGCCTCCATTACAGGGATGAGATAGAAGGGAGCTTGTTCTGAAGTGGAACACCTCTACAAGTTTAGTAGTGGATCTCTGGATTGGAGTGTATATTGTACACGCAGCTCCAGTGAGTAGATGCAGGAGATCTCTCCACTGTCTTCTGAGAGCCATGGATGAGTTTTTTTTTTATTTGGAGGCCACATTTGCACATAGACCACTGTTTGTTTGATTGGAACACATGCTGAAATTATTTAGGGAAGTTTGAAAGAAGATCATGATGTACCCTGTGCTCTGTGTTGCATAATACAGATGATCGTAAATAGCAAAGTGGATTTTTTAAAAAAATGCTGTGAATTTCGAATGGGTTATGATTTTGCAATTGACCCATATTTGCCTTGCATAGTAGCTGCATGGGAAAAGAAGTGGGAAACTGAATTTTGTTATTACATGACATGCAATCTGCACAATTTTGCTTCTTGTAAGTCAGTGCTTAGTCATGTTACCACTGCAGCTGTTACTTAAGGTTGCTCGATCAGTGTAGAGTATATTTCTTTGGTCAAAAGTGCAAAATGCATAGCACATGTGGATTTTTAAATAATAATAATAATATTTAATTCATGAAAGAAGAAAGAATACAAAAAAGAAAAAATAATAATTAATGTCCTTTGTATACATTTGGACAATAATTTACACATAACAAAACAAATATTCATAAATTAACACATTCATTGTGAGCCTGGGTCATTTAGATTACCATTGTGCAATCAGATGGGTTCTGCACGCACAGAAGCAAGTAGTAGACATTCTCAGAGTGCAAGAGCAAACATCCCAGCCCTGTGAAAACATCTGTGGCAGGTGTGAAGCAGTGCCAGTGAGGAGAATCACCTGAGAAGAGGGGGTGAGGCTAGGCAGAAGGTACAGCTTAGAGAGGGTTCCAAGGGCCAAGTAGACAGGCCTGGAAAGCTGCAGCCCACACCCACCACGGGCCTGAGGTTCGCCAACCTCTGTGTTAAAACATTCAGCCAAAATAACTGTGCGCTGGGAGATATTCCATGGTATAGGAGAAAAGTCTGCAGTTTGTAATATTGTCGTCATGGAGAATATGAGGAGTTGGCTGTCACTTATAGATTAATTTTAGGGTGTGTAATGTCCTAGGCGAAGTGGCACACTCCAGAACTGTACACCTGGCAGTTGTTTACAGAAAAACATGGGTAGGTAAACTCAGTAATCTGGACCAAGCTCATTGCACTTAATAGTAGTATAACTATAGGACAAAACAGCTGCAGCTCATTGCCATAGGGAATTCACAGTAGATCTCACCCTACATCATTGTTTTTCAAATGGGTCATGTCAACATTTCCCCACAGTGTATAACTGGAATGATTTGTATTATTTATAAAAGGCATCACCATAAGAAGTACTCGGTGTAAGGGGAACATTGCACATAGATAAAGCTGACTTGCTAATTGCCCTCCATTTTGCATATGTGCATTTGATGTTTCTTTTTGATATCTTTTGATGGTGCCCATGGTAAATTTTCAGCCAAATCCTAAATATGTTTACATCTTAATATTACTGGAGAATATAGTTAGGATTGCAGCACCTAGCTTTCCTTTTTAGCAACATCATTTGGAAGAGAAAAAACAAAACTTGCCATAATTAATCACACCAGCAATACTAACCATAATATTTACAGTACAGCGGTACCTTGGTACTCAAATGTCTTGGCTCCCAAACAGATCGGCTTTCGCACGCCACAAACCTGGAAGTAAGTGTTCCAGTTTGTGAACATTTTTCGGAAGTCGAACGTCCAACACAGCTTTCACTTGAGTGCAGGAAGCTCCTGCAGCCAATTGGAAGCCATGTCTTGGTTTTTGAACGATTTCAGGAGTCCAATGGACTCCCAGAATGGATTAAGTTTGAAAATCAAGCTACCGCTGTATATAGCCATGGGAAATGGTTAAGAGTTCTGAGGGCCTCTCATCTGCATTATTGTGTGACAAATAGTTTTAGCAGAGGGGAACTCATAGAGTTGGAAGGGACCCTGAGGATAATCTAGACCAATTCTCTGCAATGCAAGAATATGCAGCTGTCTCATTCGGGGATCGAACCTGCAGCTTTGGGATTATCAGCACCATGCTCTATGAAGGATCAGTTGTTAGATCACACTCGGTGCACCTGCAGTCCTAGAAGAAAAGAGGTATGAATGTGCAGACAGGTAACTGAGCCTCAAAGTGCCCATGTCTTCTCCCTCATTGGCTTTCAGCCAGGGGTAACTAATCCCATGTCGGGGATTGTGTGAGTTAAGATCTGCAAACCTTGACTGCAGCAATTTGAAAAATTGCTACACAGAAGGCCTTTGAGGTTGCAGAACTCACCACAGCCAAGAACTCTGGATTTCCTTGCGGCATCAGGTTTGATTAAATCACCTGCATGAGCCCACTCTCAGGGTTGGCTTGGGAAGACTTATGCAGTTGGGTAAACTGATGAAAATATATGAGACAACCCACTAAATGAGGTTGGAAAAACCAAGAAGCTCCTTTGTAGGGTTTCTGGTGGCCAGCAAATAATTTAAAGTAGCAACTAGTAGAGAAATGCAATGGGGAATGTTCTGAATATATGTGCATAGACAGATTAGAGAACCATCCTTGATCTTGGTTTGATTTATTCCATTTCTGTCACAAGTTACATTTCACAATGCATGCCAACCTTCCCAACCAGGTCCCTTCCAGATGTTTTGAACTATGACTCCCATAGCCCCAGCCAAGCATAGCTATGTTGGCTGAGGCTAATGACAGTCATTGTCCAAAACACCTGCAGGGTATCAGCTTGGAGATGAGTAGTGTATGTTGATGCCTGAACACTCACAAAGCTGAGTATCCAGTCGATCAAGTCCAGTCACCTTTAATTTCCCAAAGGAATTCCGATTATATCGCTTCCATTTTGCCATTGGCTTTTTGTAATAATACTGCTGTCAGAAATGTCTCCTTTAAAAACTGTTACTCAAAAAGTAAATCAAGGACACAATCCACTAAAAGATTTTTTTTCTTGTGCACACCTACCAATGCTCCTTATTTATTTTTTTGCAGAAGATTTATATACCACTTGATTGTAATAAAACCCTCATAGCTGTTTACAGAAAGAATAAAAGAACAAAATGTTCAGTAAAAATTAAAAACCACTATTTAAAACATTTAAAATAATAATTAAAACCAGTGATAATTCAGATTGTGTTCCAATCCTTTTGCAATGTGAGACTAAAGCAACTTGCTCAATGTTGATCGAAGTGGCTTCCAATGCTCCTTCCATTGGGACTGGAGAGAAGATCATCCTCAAAGATTGTGTTTGGCAATGTAGACCAAGTGACTTGATGAATAGGTCATGCAAGATGTCAATACCAACAGCTAGTCTACATAGTAAACAACGTCAGTCACCCCTAATTACTGGGATATAACTACCAGTCATTAAGTCCTCTTCACACAGTGCTAGTATTTATAGAAATGATTGCTATGCTCTACTTAAAATTGAGATGCACACTTCATTTAATTGAGAATTAAATCTGAATTTGTCTGAAGTGCTCTAAATTCCTCTTGTTACTCACCTGGCTATCATTCACAAAGATTGTATACCTTTGAATGTGACGTGTGCCTCATTAACATCCATTAAAGCCACCTACAGCATGCTGAAAGGCTGGCAGTTACAAAGGAGCTGAATAATTAAGCCAATTATCCAGAATTAGTGTTTGCAATAACTTCTTGAAAAACATTGATGTAAGAAATATAAAAGCGACTGATGGACAGACAACAATTGTTTTTGTTTGGATTTTGTAGAACTGAACAAGCTGGGGTGTTGAAAGAACCAAAAGGCATCAATAGTCAGTAATATTCAGATTGTGTTGTGAACTTACCTACCTTGTGATATGTCAGGGTGATCTTGAGAAGGGTCTACTGCCAAGATGGGCTTGTGGGGTCTATGATGCGTGATGTCCATCAAATGGAGCCAAGTGCAAAATAGCGACAGGGCAGAGGCAACATACTCTTAGAACACTACCATATGACCTGTTTATTGAGTATTCATCCTGATCTGTTTGCAGGGAGGTTAGATAACATTTGCTATTTAATGAGCATTCATTCCAATTTGCTTTCAGAGAGATTAGAGTAGGATTACCAGATGTCCCCGTTTCCTGGGGACAGTCCTGGATTTGTGAGTAAGTCCCCGGTCAAATTCCATCACCAGAATGTCTGCAGATTTCATCTAATGTCCCTGGGAAACGCAGCAGCAGCAGTCTCAACTGCAGAGGTTGGCTCTGGCTGGCTTCAGAAGCTGCTTGGAAGTCCCCATATGATGGTGGTGCAGGGGCTCTAAGATGCAGCTTCTGGGCTGCCTCCACCTTCCCTGACCCCAGCAACTAAGCTGTGAAGGGAGGCTTCATGCTGCCTATGGGAACAGCCTCCCAACTCCAACTTGTGTGCAAGCAGGAGCGGTGCAGGGATCTCTCAGCTGTGAAGGGAAGCTTCATGCTGTATCAGAGCTTGCGTGCAAGCAGGAGGGGGCAGGGATCTCTCAGGCAACGGGAAGCCTCCCTTCCCAGCTGAGGGATCCCCACCCTCTCCTGCTTACTTGCAAGTAGGAGTTGGGATGGGGCTGTTCCAAAAGGCAGTGTGAAACCTCCCTTCCTTCTGCCACCGCCATCACTGCAGCATCAACATCCCGAACGTGTTGTATGTATGTATGTATGTAGTCCCCGGATTCATTGAAAAAAATCTGGTAACCTTAGGTTAGAGGACATTGTGTCAAAGCAAGCAAAGTGCCGCTCTGGACTCTTTTGGAATGAAGGGCAGATTAAAATGAATGAATGAATGTGTTAGCCCACACTCCCCTGTGCATTTCCCTGTCCCTTTCTTGATCACCTACCCAAAGTTCAGTCTGCTGCAGGAGTGTGTTTGTTGCGCAAGACCTCCAAATTAACTGTAAGAGTGGACCCTCAATTTGCCATTATGCGATTGAATCCCACCCAAAAGTAGTAGCAGGCTGGAAGTGTCATTAGGATGAATAGTATTGTTTTCAGTACCAGCACTGAATTCACAGACCACACACACAGAGAGATTTTGCTCCTGAGCTTTCTTCAACTTAGTTGCCTAAATTATAGGTGTGTGTGCATGTCCTTTTTGTTGATGATAAACAAGTGAGAATCAGAATCCTGGCTGGTCTATTGCATATCAGAGATCTACCAGTAGCTCTCAATTCACTTTCTGTCCTGCCTACCTGACCCCAACCCCTGCCGGTCTACCATGGCAGATTAAGCTCAGAGTATGCAGGAATTTATATGCCTATTTGGTGCTTGGCTGGTCTGCAGACTCTCCCTCTCTTCAACTCCTATCTTGTCAAAACCCTGCTTAGCTGCATCTGACACCCCCCCCAACCCTTTAGGGGTGTGTGTGTGTGTGACTGAGTGGGGATCTGCAAGATCTGCCCTGCAGCAACAGAATTGCCTCCAACACTGCCACCTCCACCACCTGGGGATTCCTGCTTGTAAACATGGAACACAGGATGCCAGCAGTTTATCTTGGGGGAAGAGATCATGAAGTTCAACATATGCAAAAGGAAAAGCGGCATTGCCTAAACTGTGTGCAGTGCTCTGTACTACCAAACACCCATTTTCAGATGGGAATGTGAGAATACACATACTGGAAAAATGAGATTAATTTTAAGCCAGACACTTAAAAAAATGGGTTCTTAAAAGGTGTTTCTAGGAGACGCTCTCAATTAGCATTCCAGTTGTGATGTGAAGCTGGAGGGGATGGGGGTGAGGAAAGTTCGACCATCTTTGATCTAGATCCTGCGTCTTTAAAAACTCAATCAATCCAGTGCGCCAATAAAAAATATTCACAGAAGCTCATAAGGGGAAATGCTCATTATGAAAGAGCACTTAATGTCTCAATGGGAATGATTTCCCAAATTTAGCAGAATACTCCATGTATTTCACCTCATTTAAAATAATAATAATAATCTGCTAATCTTGCTCCTTGAAAACCGAGGACGTAACTGTTCTTCACTATCGTGTTGTCTGTTAGCTGTTGGTTTTAGATCATCAGTTTATGAACATGATACAACGTGGCAAGACAACTCATGTTTTTTATTCTTCCCTGTAGGCTTTACTCACTCCTTATTTATTACAGATAATAAAACTTGAAAGTGAGATGTGAGGGAATTTGACACCTACTCGCTGGAAACTCACCAGTCTGTCATCCTAAGCATAGAAACCACACTGACAGCAATTAGATGGAGTTGTAATCGGGAGCAGGAATGTGGTCTGAGCTATTTACTGTACCAGGATATTCAGCATATAATCTTTGACACTAACATCAATTGTTACTAGAGTTTGAGATCTCATCCTTTTGATTCCCCACTCACCTGAAATCTCTAAACACTCAGGTTCAGGGAACATTTAAGAATTTCAGTTTCCATATAAAGAAAGAGAGGTAGGTAGGTGGGTGGATAGGTGTTTATTTTATTGTTCTGGTGATAAAATCCTAAAATCCTAGCAGCTATGCTAGGACTGCCCACTCCAGTTAATGGGCATTCGCATTCAAATGGTGTGTGCGCACTGCGCTGTGTGGGGCAGGGCTTACCTGGGTCCCCACAATATTTTATTCAAGTTGGCACCCCTGCCAGATGGTCACTGTTTTCAGGTGGGCTTCAATCACACACTGACAAATTTAAGTTGCAAGGTTACAGTTGATTGGAAAGTCTTGAATTTTAAAGGTGCGGCTTATTTGTGGGTGTGTCTTATATTCAGGCCAAGACGGTATTATTATTATTCTCACCAACATCATCATCATAGCATAAAATAATAAGAAACACCCGTAAAGCATCAATCCCCAACAGTTCTTTACAAGAATTTGTAAAGATGTGCTTGGTAAGTAAAGCCTCACCATTTTTTTTAGCTTTTGCCAATAGGCCATGAGTTGTGAAGATATCTAGCTGGTGCATCTTCAGACCCATGGATGAATTGTTTCTCAATATTTTCTAGAGGGGAGGCCATGTTGGGTTGCCTCCAGAAGTTCAGGCTGTCAGCTATTCATGGGAGAGATTCAGGCATATATTGGGAATTTAGGTGTTTGCAATTAAAGTGGATTAAAGCACTCTGCTGCCCACGTTCAACAAATCCAATTTAAAATACACACAGGGAGACTTTTTGTGGTTCACAAAGTGATGCACTGAAAAGTGTGGGATTAATTAACAATTAACGGGAAGATGTATGAACACCCTCAAGCGGATCAAGATAAATGCTCATTGTCATTGAATGGAAACAAATGCTCAATAAAAACTGGACATAGTCTAACTATTGCGTACTACATTCAGGTCACTGTTTTTAACCAACTGAGAAATAATTTTGCAGTTTAAACAAAAGTTACATGATAGAGCCCAAGGCGAGCTGCTTCAAAAAGAGGAAACAAAACCTTAAGGAAAGGAAGACAAACTACCGTATATTCCCTTTTGATGTTGCCAACTTGTACCTTCAGAAGAACAAATTGTCTAACTTCCTTCCTATGTGGCCATTTTATTGCTCGCAAAGATGGCAATTACTGGCAAGCTTCCTATTTAAGGTCCTGATTGTGACACTTGGAACATAAACCTGAAGTACTAATTGTGCTGAGCAGCATAACCCTGCGGTGACCCTGGGGTTTTTTCTGTCTTGGTTTAAGGAAGAAGACTTCTCCAAACGGTTTGTCTCTTTGCTAAAGTGGCCTGAAAATGCAGGCAGCTGTGTTGGCCCTTCAGAAGAAAAAATCCAAACAGAAGTATCACCTTATCTTTTTAAAGACCAGAGGTTTTTGTTTTGTTTTTCAGCCAGAACTTGGTTCAGGCACCTCTCAGGTGGGTGCCATTGCCATTATAAGAGAACAAGGCTCATTGTGCGTTCTGGCAGCTCTTTTCCTAGAAAACCAGCACGGATAAGGACCCACTAAAACACTACAAACCAGTGAGCTTGCTTCTGTGTTGGAATGATTTTCAGGCTCAGTATTAACTAAAAAAGAAAATGGGGTGAGGGGAGCACAGAAAAAGATGTTATTGCTTGAGGATGGGCTCCTTCAGATGACCTGATTTGCTTACATCAGGTTTACACAGTGGTTAGACTATTTCCAGCCTTTAATGAGCATTTGTTCTGATTTGTTTATGGAGTAGTTGTATGACCACTAGCTTTCATCCTGCATTCGTCCTGATTCACTTGTGGAGTGTTTACATATCTTCCCACGAACCAATTACTGACCCTGCACTTTTCAGTGTGATTCCCCATCACTTTCCACACCTCTAGAAGTCCAACTGCTTTAAGTGGGTTTGCTGTGCTAGGGCAGCAGAGTGCCTTAATCCACTTTTGAAGAAACTTAAATTTCCAACATGAGCTTGAATCCCCCCTATGAAATACTGACAGTCTGGAGGCACACAATATGGTAGAAGTGCCATGTGCATTGCACTGCAGTCTTTAGATGATTCAGGAAGCACTTGCAATAGTTTAATCAGTGCCCAGTGCAAAACAATACAGGTTTTACCACATCAACCTTTGTCCATGACTGCTTTAGTGCAATCTGCGGTCTTTTGCATCAGGCACAAGCTTCTTTAATTAGTCTGTAAATTACAGTATTAAGATGTGGTGTTGTCACCAAGCTGCTGTTGGGAACTGTCACTGTGCTTATTTTGCATTTATGCTTTAATTGAATCAGCACACAATTGGTACTTTTTGCATTTCACTGCTGTTTCCCCCCACAGTTTCCCCCTTTACACCGTGTGTGTGTGAACTAAGAACACGTCAAGCATCTCATGAAATGGATTATAAACCACTAAAGCTTACTCCATAATCAGTATATTCATCTTTAAGGTACCACCTTTCCCCCCCATCATAAAATCATATATTGCACAATGCTCTCTTCTCTTCTCCCTCCTTCCTTAGTCCATGGGGCCTGTATGGAGAAAGATAGCCAGGAATTCTCCCCCTTAGATTTTGATCTGAGCTGAAGAGAAAGTTCAGGATTTAGAAAATTCATATTTGCTTTTTGAGCCCCCAAAGTTTCTTTCTGAGCCTGACTCAGGAGAACATTGGCAGCATCAGTAAGAAAGGACTTAAATAATCTTACAAGCAGCAACAAAATTGTATTCAAATCTATGCAGCACAGCACTGAATTTGGAAATCGTCGTGTATATTCCACCTGTATGGCTGTTGAACCTAAATTCAACACCGCATTTTAGAGTGCAACATATCAACTGTTTTTCACATTGTATCAAGGAAGCCCCCCTCTTACTCAGAGTGGAGAAGATCATGGTAGCCATCTATCAGGACATCTGTGTACCACCAGTTAACCTGGTAATGCCTTTAAGGCTATCCAAGCAGGATCCAAGACTGGCCAAACCATTAGTTAAGGACCAAAACAAACAGTGTTTCCTCTTTGCATCCTGGCTTGAATGTTTGATTCTGAATGAGGACTTGAATAATTTTTTTATCTCACAAAGGCTGAAAAGGTGGGAGTGGAGCACATTCTCTGATCATCTGGGTATCTCCCCAGTCATGTCCGATCATGCAATAACGCTAAAAGATAGAAGGGATTGATTGTGTGAGCTCTATGCACAGTGGACCCCTTAGTGCATTTTGACTTCTGAAGTGCAGGCAAATGAAAAGGCTTTGGACCTAACTATGATGGAGATGAGGCCTTAGTGTTGCATGCTTCCAGTTCAACATCTGCAGTGGGAACTCATGCATAGGTATGGGGAGAAATTTGGCTTGGTTCTCATTTTAATGGAAAGCTACATGGCCTGCCCTTTCCAAAATGCAGCAATGCACTTTGCAGTCATCTAAAGTCCTCCACTTAAATGGCAGATTATGACTGCTGCTGCTGCTGAAGCCAGTAACTAATTGCCCCAATTTGATCCTGACCTGCTTTGCTGTAGGATGCTTTCTCTTATACTGTACTCAGCCACTTCTGTGTTGGAACCGTAACTTTTATTACTCATGACCTGTTGCCTTTTATGGCTTAACGCTTTGCTGTGTTTATTGATAAGGCGCTAACAGTAAAGTTGCATTGCATATAAAAGTCTGGAGACGGTTGGTGAGAATACAGAACGTTCTGTTTGGGTCAATATCTTTTACAAGGAGGGGATTAGTAGGTTTCATCAAATGGCGGCTTTGACAGATTAATATTTTACCACCACAGCAGGAGTGGCGCTGCGCAGATGCACAAAAGTTAAACTGCCAGGTTACTGGGCCCTGAATCAGAAGTGAAGGAAGCCCAACCTATAGCTTTCAAATAAAGACACCTCACTTTTTTCATTAATACTGCAAGTTGGGTGACCCATGCTGTTCCTATGTTTGCTGCAGCTTGCAATATTTTCTAGGCCCAATACACCATATATGGATTGGGCCCTCCAAACATACCTTCCAACATTTTCTGATGCAAGATCAGGATGCGCAGCTTCCAGAATGTGCTCCAGGGCAAGTCACATGACCCGTGCCTTGCTCTCGCCCCCCCAAAAGCACTTTTTTCCAGGGCCAGAGGTGGTTCTGGTTTGGTAGGATGCTAAGAATTCTCTATACACAGAGGGCACATTTTATCACATGTGGTAGAATTGTAAACCCATCAAAAATTATTGGGAAATGATTTATAATTAAATGAAAAGAATGCTTAAGATAACCTTTGTTAATAAGGATTGTGTTGAATATAAAATTGTAAAATTCAATAAAAACTATTTTTTAAAAAAAAATGCATTAAAAAATTCTCTATACACTATCATGAGCCTCACTTCTTTCAGAGAACTAAAATTCCCAGGGTTTCCTGGAAAAAGAATGTATTCTCAAACCAGGTTGTTATATGGAGGTTAATAATGTTTTATAGCTTATAAATGTATTGATTTGCCAGTTGAATAATAGGGCTTTTGCTTTAATTGTGATGTTTAGCTTATTTTTAAATTGTTGTTTCGCTAACAGTATACATATTGTAATCATCACACCGGTGGTTTGTTAATTGTTCCATCTTACTTATGCTGTATCTGCGATGTTCTGTGATGTTCTGTCATGTTATTGCTATTTATTGCTTGTGAGCTGCTTTGGGATTCAATTGATGGAAAAGTGGCACAGAAATATAATAAATCAAATCAAATCAAATACAGACCCACAGAACGGAGATGACTGCGAGTGCTGAATGTACCTCAAGGCAGAATAATCCAATTGTATCTGAATCATCTGAGGAAAGCACATTTTCTCCTGACTACTCCCTTCCTGGAATCCCCCTCCCCCCGGCCATGGCTGTATTCTTGCTTGATCCTTGTACAGGGAGATCCTATGCAAAATATCTCTCTCCTATACCCAGGGCACATCCTTGAATAATGTGGTCTTGATCCTGCACATATCGAGCAGTAACTAATTGAGATCCCCCACCCCCACCTATAATTCTAGATAGAAAATATTAGAACAGAGACTACAACACTGCAAGCTACGATTTTTAAAAATAGCACACTAATCAACAGCAGCAATAAACTAAGCTAATAACATGAACAGCACAGATCAGGCAATTCCTACTAAAATACTAGGAAACCATGAAGTCACTTAGAGGAGGCATACACATTCCAATTCATGAGCCATTAGAATATTAGACTTTTAATGTCAGTCAAGGTTGTGGGTTTGAGCCACACACTGATTCCTGCATTGCTAGGGGTTGGACTAGACAACCCTTACAATTCTGAGAGTCTACGAATCTATGTTACAAGGTAGCCAGTAATCAATGCACACGTGTTTTTCATATGCTAGTCATTCCACAATCCCTCTTGCTCCAGCAAAGCTTAATAAAACATCGTGTTCTCTAGAGAGGCAGTGAAATGCACTCATGTGCCTGGGATTGGATTCCATGTACCTGTTTTTGCTGGACGGCAACCAGGCGGAAGGCACCGATCACATTTTAATCTTTGCAGGATAGTCCTGCAGGTGCTGATTGAAACAGCAAGATGTACAGTGGAGGAGCAACGAATGAGATGGGTGGGGCCCTTGGTGTCGCAGCTGCTGCAGGAGAATTGCCACAGTGTGCAGGCATATCACAGGGGTGGGGAACCTGTGGCCCTCCAGATGTTGCTGGACTACAGCTCCCATCATTCCTGACCGTTGCTCATCCTGGCTGGGGGTTACGGGAGTTGAAGTCCAATTGCATCTGGAGGGCCACACAGGAGGTGAGCTGCTTTGTTGTTCCCCACGATGCTCTTTTTAAAGCTTAATGAGGTGCCTCTTAGAACATAAAATGGACAGCGCTCAGCTAGCAATTAGGGGCCCGGCTCAGGAGCGGAAACTCAGTAGCCTCCAGGCAAAGTGGGAGGTTTCCCTGTTGCTAATTTTGAACAGCGTTCTTCACACTACAGGGACTTTCCCATAGTTTGAGGGCAGCCCATTGTAGCTCTCGTGCTTTTGCCCTCATTGAAAGCTGAGCCATGGAGGCAGTGTCATGACTAGGGCAATTCGGGATCTGAATTCTGATGTGAACTGATCTGATCTGGAACTTTGTGGACTAATGCTGGTTTGTTACTCAAGTTCAGAGTGTTGCTATTAGTATATAAAACCCTTAAAAGCTTGGGGCCAGTGTACTCGAGGGATCGGCTTACCCATATGTGACACCTGACCACTTCAATCTGTCAAACAAGCACAGTTACAGGTGCACATAATATGCATTCTGCACTTGTAAGGAACCAGTCTTTGAGCATAGCAGCACCAACACTCCCTGCCCATTGACATCAGGCAGGTGCCTTCGCTGTGCTCTCTTCAGTGCCTGTTAAAAACATTTTTGTTCAGGCAGACATGCAGAAGGTGACCAGTGCTTTAATCTGTTTTCTGCTGTTGGTTTTAATTATATTTTGCATTTAAAAAAAATATTTGCTTTTAATTTTGTCTTTTATTGCCAATTTTAATATTTGCTTTATTTTGTAAACAACTTAGAAGTTCTATTTACAATAAAGTGGTGTGTGCGTGTGCGGATTGGAACAATGTAATTATCTTTTGGATTTCAAAGTTCTCAGAATTTTTCAATACAATTCTTGGCTCAAAAAAATGTACCAAAATGTATTAAAAATGTGTATTTTAGGATAGTACTGTATGTGCGTCCCAATTTTCCTATGAAAACATCTATCAAGAGTACAAACATTTCTTCTTTCCTCCCATCTTTGACAAATCTATCAGCAATCATTTTTGTTCATATTTGTTTGAGGTGGTGTGGGAATTGGAAATTTCAGCTTGATAAACCAAGGTTGCCCCCTTATCTGGGACAATGTCCCATGGAACACAGTAGGACTTGTTTCTGACTAGACACGCCTTAGATTGTAACTGGACTGCAGGCGTTATCATAAAATCACACAAATCCTGGTTTTATTATAATCTTTTTAAGTAAAGATCAATGTTTGCTTCAGGGAAAGACAAACTTCAGGTGTGCTTTACCTTCCAGGGTTATTTCCACACTCCATTAACAGGCTGAGGCAGGCTTTTAAAATAAGCAGCCTGATGTTTCCATGTACCTTTGATTAAGAACAGAGAGTCCTTAGCAAAAAAAAAGAAAAAAGTAATGCACACGTATGGAGTGAGACCTTGCCTAAATAATTCATATCATTATCCAGAACTTCTTAACGAAACCTCTGGCACAAGTTACACAATGCATACAACCTTCTCCCCCCCCCCCCATGTATGCAAATGAGCTACATCATCAATTTCAGTAAAACATTAAACCAGTCCAGCAGAATACAAGGCCCTCGGGCTCCATCCACTTGGCTTCGTGGCTCACTGTATTGTGAACGAGTGGAAATGCATTGTACAGTATTATCTTCAGTGCCTGCAGTGTGTGTGTGTGTGTGTGTGTGTGTGTGTGTGTGTGTGTGTGATCTTCTAGTCTTCCTAATGCTTTGTCTATGTTCTGGGACTCATTTCTGATTTATAGGAATGTGGACTATATCCCTTCAATGACCTGTGCAGCAGAGCTGCAGGCTACTATCCTTTCCCACTAACCAGGAGTGGCCGATCCAGTGCTGTCCGCTCATCCATGATTGAACATTTGGTCTCTCGGTTGCTTGGGCTGGACCCACATTGGGTTCTCACTGCTGGTCAACTTCTATGGGTATTCCTCAACAAGTGTTCTGGGATGCATTCTTTGGAAGGAAAAGCAGATCCTTATCACAAGGCCATGTCAACCCCGTTTCCCAACAAATGCACAGGTAGAACATCAACGGCATTCAGACCTCCTGGCTTTTTTTGCTGGTGAATGTGCACTATCAGGAATGTTGGATCATTGAGGCTTTGATTTAACCCTCCCTCTTTAGCACAACGTGAGGGATCATTTCCTAATCTTGGAGATCATGATGTCCTCCTGCGACTTTGTCTTGTTTTTGAGCCGGCCTCCAGCAATCCTTTCTTGTCTTCTCGCTGCAAAAGAGAACTGTGAAATCAAATGCACATGCTATCTAGTCATGAGGGTGGTGGAGGAAATTATTGCACTTGCACCTTTTACCGGGGGTGTATATCCTCTGAGTAGCCCCAAAACTATGTGGAACTAATTATTGTGTTGCAAATTGATACTGAGCATCAACACATGAAGTTGCCCTATGCTGAGTCAGATCATTGGCCCATCTCGCTTGGTATTGTCTACTCTGAAGGACAATGGCTCCTTGGGCTCTCAGTGGAGTTACCTCTTCAGCTACCCTGTCCCCAGACCAGAGGTTTTCCCCAGGATTTCCTTATTGCTCTTGCCTTTTAGGTAGTCAGGGAGTTAACCTGGTGCCTTACACTTGCAACACCTTGTACCAGGGACAGGAAACCTGGTGTCTTCCATATGTTGATGGACTCCAACTCCCATCAGCCCCAGCTAGCACAGCCAAGGGACGAGGACGATAAGAGTTGTGGTCCAGAACATCTGTAGGATACCAAGTTCCCTCACCGCTGCTTTATATTCTCTATCACTTACATACAGCAGCTTCCTTTACATTTTTTTTTAAAATTCAGTTTTGTAGCATGGAAGAAGGAAGTGTTAGAGATTGCAAAAAATGAGGTCAGGGCCACACACAGCGACCACACTACCTGTCTGTGCCTATCTGTGAAATGGGAGCTACTAGCCACATAAACCACCCCATGAGGTGGAGAGATAAAAGCGCTCCTTCCTAGCAGTGAGAATAGCAATGGAATGCTAATATTTTGGGGACCAAGATGGTTGCTTTGTTTTACAAATGCAAAAAGCATTGCCACTTTATTCTGCCATAGAAAATGCAAGTGTATAATGTTAATGCAAAGCAGTCCCTGTTCCTCCAAATTCCTCTTCTAGAATTTGAATTGCTATCTAAAACCATAACCTCAGAGCATTATAAAATGTTTAAATAACATCGTGATTTCCTTTCAGCTTCCGATGATATTCTGCTCGGAACATTTTGAGGTGCAAATTTTTCTCCAGGGTATGAATGAGTTCAGTTTTCTAATTTGATTTTATTAAGGAAATGAAGTTTTCTCCTTATACGGACACACAAGTTTTAATGCACTCAAGAGATGTTTCGATATTTGTGTAGGTGTTTTTAATATGTTATTTCCCTTAATTGTATTTCCTGCTCACTAAATTAGCAAAGCCCTGATTTAGAGGGATTAATCTTTTGTGCCTCCTCATCCCTGGTTTTAATTGTGCTAGTCTTCACAAGCATATAATTTAATTATACACTTGTAGCATTCATTTAGTGGGGGTCTGCACACATTAGGGTAGGGTTGCTTGTAAATGGAGTAACAATCCATTTATTCAGACTTCCTGTAAGTAGATTGATTCTTTTCTCTGTACAGAGAAAAAACTAATACAGGATTCTCATAATCTTTACACCCATTTTTTAACGTAGGCTTTCACATTGCCATATGTAATTCAAATAATAATTTGAGAAGCATCTGCCTTAGCTAAGCAGTCCAAGTTTTCATACTAAGGGGGCCACAAGAGTACTTAAACATGGAACCTGCAGGCTGCCCACTGCCTTGTCACATGGGGAAGGGGGCATTATGTAGTCATGCTTTTGGCAGCCTGTTCCTCATGAATCCCACTGTGTGACCTCATAGGATTGGGGACCAACCAATTGGATTGTTACAGGCTACAGACTTCAACAACAAATCCCATATGGCAAACCATAGGGTGTCAGGGGTTGGACTGTGGAGGACTGGTGGAGATGCTCCCCCCTTCACCTGAACCTTCCCGAGAGCAGGAGGACAGTATAGATTTAGAACAGTGGTTTGCAGAAGGCCAGAGTTCAGAGGCTGCAGAGGGGGAAAGCTGGGAAATACTGGGAGAAGAACAGCAGGAAGAAGAAGCACCAGGGGAGAGACTGATGACAGACTCAGTGTCTTTGGAAAGCATTCTTGAGTGTGCACACTCCTCCCAGGACTAGGCAGGCATTGAGAGTAGTAGAACAGAAAGCGCAGAGGCAGAAAGCTCAGATCGGCCGGCACAGGGATGACACAGAATAGGAGAGACGGAGGGAATGGGACTTTACTTGGAACAACGCCATTATCTTAGGGAGACTGCATTCATTCGTCTCTGTGCACAGTGAATAAATTACTTGGTAAGAATTCTTCTTGTTTATCTGCTTCTTGGCTGCCACCAGGGGAGGGATCAGGTTCTCTGAAGCCTGACATAGGGTGGGCTCCTAACATACCAGAATAAACACCCACAAATGCATGCTTAAACAGACTGCCACTCCTGACTTTTGGAGTGCAGTGCCTACATTTTAGGATCTGCACCTGAACACATTAAGCATTGGATTTCATAACAAACCGAGTGAGTTTACAGCTGTGGAAAAGAGATACCCTGTAGCTCAGTTTGCACACTTTCCAAACCAGCAGTCCCCTTTGCATGGTGTGGGAGCAGGTCCTAATCCCTGGATTTGCTTAAGTAAAATTTGTGTAATCTCTCCCATCCACTCCAAAGGGAAGAATCACACAAATCAGGCCTCCATGGGAATCTGTATTCCATTTGGAGCACCTGCTTCGCACATGATATGATGCATATGGCGGAGGGGGAGAGCCCATGTCTCTCTCCACCATAAGAGTCACTGACCTACTCGCCCAATGGTGTCATGTATGTGAAACCTGCCACAAACACATACACAGGTTCCTGCATTTGCTGGAGGTGAAAAGCTATATGGCCAGCCTTGCAAACCGTTGTGACATCCCTAAGCTCTAGGTTCAAGGAATGTATGTATAACTGTGAGAACTCTTAATGCAAGAGATAAAACTAAGCTGATGACAAATGAGAATGCAAATCAGTCAAGAACAGCTGCTATGAGAAGAGTTAAATTATTATGGCATGGCACCATTGAAACTTTATCTTTCACCTCTGTTAAAACTGAAATTATTTTCTGGGGGCCCCTTTTAAAATTAAATAAATACATACATGAAAACTGCCCGTCTGCCTCCATTAGACTGAATCAGGTCAATGAACAAAATATTACTGGCAATGCCCAGCCCAGCTAGAATTTATTATCTCAACAGCAATGTTAAATATTAACATGATAGTAGCACAGAACACACAGTGAACTGTATCCACCCACATAGATAAACAATGGTCCCTGTGATTAAAACAAAATAAAAATGAGCAAACCCTTTGGTGGCACAGCATGAAAAAAATTGATCTAGATATCGCACATTTGTTTTTTATTGTGTTGTATAAAAAAAATTATAGTATGCTGTCTGAGGACAGGGAAGGGCAAAGGGAAGCTTAGCAGAACATATTTTACAGGGCAATAAATACGCTGACGTCTAACTTAATATCCGCCTTTTGGCTGTTCCTAAAAACAAATACTGTAGACTACTGTGGTTCTTTGGGTGTTTCTGATTTCTTGCATGGATCCAGTTCCAGGACAGGATTGTATTATTTGTGCATGGCTTGTGATTAACTGGTGGTTTGTCTCTTGGAGTAATTCAGTCTTTTACACTATTGTATCTTCTTTGTTCTGATATTCTGACTTTGACTAAATAAGCTGCTGCTTTTGGGGGGGGGGTGTTTTCTTTCTTTCTTCACGGTTGCTGATTGTGTTTTGTATTTGTAACTGATGACTGAGCGGCAAATCACGCCCCAGAGATCCAGCAGAATCAGCTCAAGTCTGGATATCTGATGCCTTGAGTTCCAGGAACTTGGGCCTGTGCAGTTCAGAGAGGAGGGAGCACACAGAGTAGAATTCCCCCTATCTAATAGGTAGAGGTAGATTCAGTTCTGGATCTCAGTGTGGCTTTCTGCAAATACTGATGTCAAATACTTAGGTCAGGAATGGGGTGACTTACAGCCTTCCATATCTTGTTGGACCACACCTCCTATCACCAGGGCCGGATTTAGGTCTGATGAGGCCCTAAGCTACTGAATGTAATGGGGCCCTTTATATGTCCAGCTGTCCTTTGTCAACAACAAATTGTCGCTGTTTTTTGTGTTGAATATATGCTATATGGTAATTTGAGGACCTAATAGGTATCTAAAGCCATTTGCACATAACAAAATATGTATTTTATCGAAGTAATTGTTGAACTGAAATACAATTAAGAAGAAGTATATTAACAGTGAAATAATTATTAAGCTCTAACTGTATGTAGGTTTTATTTTATTTGCTTTTTTATCTTATATTTTGGAAATGTACATCCAGTTTCTTTTCCTTTAATTTTTTTGGGGGCTCCCAAGAGATTGGGGCCCTAAGCTATAGCTTGTTTAGCGTATACATAAATCCAGCACTGCCCATCACCCCTAACCTTTGACTGTGCTGGAGCTCAGTCTTCCTAAACTTTGCCACCACTCACCAACTGTTTTACTGGCTGTAAATAAAGCAGCAGCAACAACAGCTCAGGCCAGAAAGAAGCAGGCATTAACCATGCAGGAGAATAGGAATGGATGGAGGAAGGAAAGGTTGGGTATGTGTGTGGCAGCAGCCAGTTGAGATGGCAACCTTGCTCTGCTCAATGGGAAAGGCAGCTCCATTGTCAGCTCTGGACCTCCCCTCTTATAATCTCTGAGAGGAATGATGGGCCTGGTCAAATCTCAGGTCTGACAACATAGTGCCCAGCTAGTAGCCAGAGGATTTCCATCCACTGGGCAAACTTGGGAGGACGCAAGCCCATTGCATGTTCTAGAAGAAGAAGAAGAGCTTGGATTTGATATCCCACTTTATCCCTACCCTAAGGAGTCTCAATTAAGATTGCCGGAAGAAAAATCAACAACCTCAGATATGCAGATGACACAACAGAAAGTGGCAGAACGTGAGGAGGAATTAAAGAAGCTTTTATTGAGGGTGAAAGAGGAGAGCACAAAATATGGTCTGAAGCTCAACATAAAAAAAACGAAGATCATGGCCTCTGGTCCCATCACCTCCTGGCAAATAGAAGGGGAAGAAATGGAGGCAGTGAGAGATTTTACTTTCTTGGGCTCCATGATCACTGCAGATGGTGACAGCAGCCACAAAATTAAAAGATGTCTGCTTCTTGGGAGAAAAGCAATGACAAACCTAGACAGCATCTTAAAAAGTAGAGACATCACCTTGCCAACAAAGGTCCGTATAGTTAAAGCTATGGTTTTCCCAGTAGTGATGTATGGAAGTGAGAGCTGGACCATAAAGAAGGCTGATCGCTGAAGAATTGATGCTTTTGAATTATGGTGCTGAAGGAGACTCTTGAGAGTCCCATGGACTGCAAGAAGATAAAACCTATCCATTCTTAAGGAAATCAGCTCTGAGTGCTCACTGGAAGGACAGATCGTGAAGCTGAGGCTCCAATACTTTGGCCACCTCATGAGAAGAGAAGACTCCCTGGAAAAGACCCTGATGTTGGGAAAGATTTAGGGCACAAGGAGAAGGGGACGACAGAGGATGAGATGGTTGGATAGTGTTCTTGAAGCTACCAGCATGAATTTGACCAAACTGCAGGAGGCAGTGGAAGACAGGAGTGCTGGCGTGCTCTGGTCCATGGGGTGTGATGGCCTGGGAATCCGATTCAGAGGCTGAACCGGAGGAATCCCAGCCTGCACAGGAGTCCCCGCCTCCAGGGCAGGCTGAACTGGGGCAGGGCCTTGATTCTGAAGCGCCTGCACCTGTTCCGGATCCTCAGGAGCAGGCACCAGGTGAATCCACTCTGGCTCCGGAGGTGGTTGAGGACTCAGTGCCTACAGGTGAGTCTCCCCCTGGGTCCAGTAACCCTTCAGCCTCTCCTGAACTGCAGAGGCTCAGGGCAGAGAGGCGAAGGGAACTGGTTTCTCCCAGGTGGAATGCTCGCCTTAAGGCCAGGAGAGGCGGGTCTCCTGGGGGCCGGGACCGCCCCTGGCCTCAGAGAAGATAAAGGACAGTCAGCCCGATCGCAGGTTGCGGGAGCAACGTCGTTGATGAGCTGTTTCGGCCAGCATCCAGTCCTGTTCCCCCAGTGTTCCTGTCCCCGCCCGGCTTCCTGCTTCGGACCTCACCTCGCTCCTTGTGAACTGTTTCCAGACCAGTGACCCAGGACCGGACTTTGACTATGCCAACGGTAACCTTCCCCCCGGGACCAGCACATGGGGTCAAGAAGAGTTGGACACGACTAAACGACTAAACAACAACAAGGAGTCTCAAAGCAGCTAACAATCTCCTTTCCCTTCCTCCCCCACAACAAACACTCTGTGAGGTGAGTGAGGCTGAGAGACTTCAGAGAAGTGTGACTAGCCCAAGGTCACCCAGCAGCTGCATGTGGAGGAGTGAGGAAGCGAACCCGGTTCACCAGATTATGAGTCTACCGCTCTTAACCACTGCACCACACTTCTAGAATAGATCCTGCCCCTGAGCAGCTCCTAGAAGAGGCAAGGCTCTCTCTGGCAGAATCATCAGTCCCTTGCTGCTCAATGCAGCAGCTCCATCACTTCAGCCTCAGCTCCTTGCTTGGATGGAAGGAGACGCTGTTTTCGACTGCCCAGCTTCCAGAAATCAGGCTGCAGCAACTCCAAGCAACTCTGTTGTGAGTTAAGGGGCTTTCCATCATGGTGCTGCCACTAGCTTAGGTCTCATTGAAGGATCAGGCTTAGTTTATACATTCAAAGTGATAAAATGGTACACTTCATTCCTTCAATCATTTGATATCTCTATCATGTTTTTCAGTCCTCGAAGGCAGCTTCCAGGTTAAAATGTAAAATACAGCAAAACCCAAGAAGACAATAAATACAAGAACAAAAGCCAAGAGCATTATATTGCTTAAAACAACAGCAGCAGCAGCAGTAGTAACAAGAGAGGGTATAAAATGGGCCCGCGTGACAAAATACAGAACTATAACAGGAGGCTGACAACAGGGTAGATTTAAAGCAAGATGAAACGAACAAAAAGTGATCACTGTTCTTCTAAAACTCTAGCGAGAGGGAACCAATTGAAACTCACACACTTCTGTCTCCTTGCTTTCCTCATATTGTCCCAGAGAGTCGTTTTGTTTTAAAGCTTTATGGCAAATTTCCTCTTGCATAGAAGATGCATTACAGATGGGGATAATTACCAAGTGATAATAATAGTACATGATCAGCTGAATTTTCTGTTACTGGAATGTCTGGGTGGGGGCAGGGGGGGAATGAGCTGCGAGCGTGTGGAAACTGATACTTCTTGTGGGTCTCACACATGAATGAAAGGAGCCACAATTGGGGGCCCCTGGGGGGCACATTGGAAGATGGCTGACAGTAACATCTCTCCGACCCACACGAGGTAATTTGGAGACTATGATGGGGGTAATTAGCCTCCTTAACCCCCCCCCCAGGATTGTGGGGGGGATGGCCCTTGCCTGCTGTGCCCTATACCACCCCCAAATTTGTGGGGGTGGGGGCACTAGGCACAAAGCCCTCCTGTGGGATTCCGGCACTCCTGGACGCCGTCCCTGATTCGCGCCACTAGATGCAAGAACTTCAAAAGAAACAATTTGGATGAAAGGAATGCACATATTTCAAGAAAGAAGGGGGAGTAAAGACTGCTAACAGAAGAGATCTCTGACAAAACAAGATAAGAATAAAACATGAGAAGATACGCCAAGACAAGGTACGGCAAATGACTGATGGGGGAGTGGGGAAAAACTCTCCCTTTTCCCCCTATGTGATTAAACAAGAATCCCCTCCCCTCACAAGTCAGAAATGTCGTTTTAAGGACTTAAGCTGTGGATTTAAGGCTGTGTGGAGATAAACTTTCGAACCAAAGCACGTTTTAAGAAGAGCGTGGGATGTGTAAGAGCTTTGGAATGACGCAGTTAAAAATGCCGTCGGCATATTGGGAAGTTCTGTCGGAGGTCTTGAGTCTGGGAGGAGAAAGAGAGAAATAGAGCTGTTTATATATCGTGGGTTAAACTCCTCAGTGGGACTTAAGAGCGACAGTTTTACGAGACTATGATGGAAAGAGTGATGTTATCTATGAAGGAGATGATATATGGAAACCATCTCGATTTGAGGATTGGAAGAACGGAAA